GCGTTGTTTTGGTGACTCGGATGCGATGTGTGGTGGATGCTGTTGTTGTGGGCGTTGCAGGATCGGCCAGTGTGCTACCGAAAGTTTCCAGCAGTGTGGCCAGGCGTCGATCGAGTGGTGGTTGGAACCCGTGCTTGACTCCGGCGAAGTTTATGGAGTCGCTCGTTGTTGGGCCGCGGTTCGGAGCTTGGTCCCAGTGTGTTGTCTGCCTTGTATGGGTTCCCCAGTGGATGCACGCTCTCTCGTAATCCAGCACCGCTCGATGTTCTTGGAGCCACTTCTGTCCCAAGATCATGGGCACGACAAGGTTTGGTGTCACCAGGAAGTCGTCCGATTCTTGCTTGTCGTTGAGCGTGTACTCGACTCTGGATGTGCCGATGACTTCCAGCTGATGGCGGGGGTTCGCTAGGCCGGCTGTTTGGTGGTTGCTATGGTGGATTTTCCACGCGAGCTCCTTCTGGATGAAGTTATGGGATGATCCGGAGTCGAGGAGAGCTCTTACGCTTTTTCCGCGTACCTTGACTGCCAGCGTTGGTAGGTTGGGTCGGGTCGCAGTCTGGATTAGGTGGACGGCCGGGCATTGTTCCCGACCGCTGCCCCGTTTCCCTGGTCTCGGCGGCGGGTCAGTACTGGGCAGTCTCGGTGGAAGTGATATTCCGGGCAGTGGTGGCACTTTGGTGTGTTGGGAGGTCTGTCGGCGGGGGTTGGTGGCGATGGTCTGGGTTGGTTGTTTCGAGGTAGCGCTTTGTTGCAGTTTTCGATTTCCTCGGCGTGACGCACCAAGTCGAGGAGTGAAGTGGGTGTTGTGGTTAAAAAGGCTACTCTAATGCGTGGGTGCAGCAGGTCTCTCAGTAGCTCGAGGTGCTCGCCGATCGGGATCTTCAGCCGTTTTGCTAGCTGTGCCTTCCTCTGGAGGAATTGCTGCGGCGACTCTGCTCCTTGTTCTCGGCCGAAGAATTCTGATTGCATCTTCCCGCGAATCTTGCTGCTGTCGTATTTTTCGCGGGTGTAGTTCTTTAGGTCGTTGTATGTCGGTGAAAATGCCTCGTAACTGTTCCACCATTTCGCAGCCTCCCCTTTTAGTTGTGCTGCTGCTGTTTTTAACTTTTCCGCCGGGTCGGTGGTTTGGATTGTCTGCTCGAGCGTGCTGAAGAAGACTGTTGGGTCCTCCAGGTGGTCGCCGCTGAAGGTCGGTAGGTCCGGTGATGCGGTTATCTGCGCGTTCTGGAGGGCGTCGGTCAGCGCCTTTAGCATGTCGAGGGTGTGTTGAGAGTGTTGGGCGCCACTGGACGGGGTTGCCGGGTCCAGACCGGGGTTGATTGCCGGGGTCATCTCCGTTGTTTGAGTGTCGATACCTTCGTCGGCGCCGGAGTTGGACGTCGGGGTGTTCCTGCTCCTCGTATTCATGGTGTTGCGCGTCGGCTGTCGCGGGAGCGTGGGCGTAGATCCTCAGAGCGCGATGCTGCTGGTTGACTCACACGTATGGGCGCCAATTGTTACCGGGCGGGGTAACGTAAGTGGCAAACGGAGGTTGAAAACGTATATTACACAATATTTACAAATAATACAGAGGCTATATGTACATATATAAGATCGCTTCTGGCACGTGGGATGGCGCCGGACTTGACTACGGTCAAGCCGGGAAGTGATGGCGTGCGGAGACGGTACTTGAGCCCAAGCGACCAGCCTCAGTCGCTTGTATAGGGTAAGGTAGGCTTGCCCAGGCACAAGTGAAGTTCCCCTGTCGGTGCGCTGCTTATAAACGATTTCCGGTAGAGGCGTCTGGCGACGCGGCCAATAGGGCGCTAGTGGATGGTGGGGTGGAAGTTGCAACCCCTCTCCTAGTCGTCGTAACACATTTTCTGTTCTACGCGCGGTCCGTGCACAGTCTACTTGGAGGGTGCCGAAAAAGTCGCGTTGAAATCTGCCTGTCTGAGATTGGCCGAAATTCGAATAGCAGCTTGCAGTAGTCGGTCCTGAGTTCATTTGATTTCAACATCGATCGGAGCGAGACCAAGACTGCACTCCGAATCCTAGTGCACACTAACAATAGAAGTTCAAGGTATTTATAAACCAGTAAACATTATTGCGTTGTAGTTTATTGTCTGGTCTTTGTTGTTCGCCCCGTCGTAGACTCTTGCATTGTCGTTTGAATTTGTGTTATAGTAAAGGCGATTTAATCACCTACTAGGGTTGCATTCAAATAAGTGCTTGTGAGCACTGATTGCTTCCATTTTAACGACTCGGGCGTTACTACACACATTTACAGCAGTTTGTTTTGATTTTCGATCTAATTGTATGTATACTAATTTATGAAACAAGAATTAAGTTTCTTTCTGTACATACTCGGCGGTTTTAGAGTAAATATTTTGATTTTTGACTAGCGTAATAAAGACAGATTTTCCTTTCTATGCAGTGAATTTTTGTGAATGAATGAGTTAACCCTACTTTTACAGGAACGTACCGCCTCAACCCCCATTGTGCTATTTACAGCAAAAAGGCGATTTTCTCAGAGAAAAAGAACGTGATAGGTGTTAATAAAGACTATTGATTTTTATTCATCCTCATCCTTCATCCTTGCCCATTTCCTCGAGGTCAGAAAAGGACCATCGACTGAAGCTAGCCGGCGCCCAACAACAATTATTTTATGTAAGAAGAACCACCCCTAAATAAAATAGTTTGAAAAAGAAACGGTAGGAAGAGTTGAAAAGTAACCAGCCGGTTACAGTTGAATTTCTTTCACATTTGGACAGAATGTATGCCTTTGTAGTAGATTAGGAACTCGAGTTCCTCCTTTTCTTTTATATTGTGGAATATGCATACATCATACATTCATACTTTTAAAAGCAATTTATAATAAAGAGGTAACAAATTGAAATTGATGATAGACTCGATGATAGATAACGGTCCTGCATACATTTTGTTGCCTTTCAAACTTATTATGAATTGTAGTTTTAAATGTTTTGTCAGTTGTAGGTACTAGTACACAAACCACATTACAATTTACAACAAATGTTATTGAACAAATTCAGAACAATGGAATTATACTCATATATTATCAAACAGCACAGTTCACTGCTGTACCTATGTATAAGCCATTTAGTTAGTCACTGTGTCCAGAAAGTTCACTAAAACCAAGTGAACAATAGGGAATATGCATGTATCTTTTTAAATTTTTTAATCGTTTTTTCACATCGTTCTAACATAGTAAAAAGTGTAAACACTGTTACAGCAATTCAATTTAACTTGTAAAATGTATGATGAAATATGATTCTGTAATAGACAAACTTGACTTACTTTACTAGTGCTGGGGGTTTGCATTCATCACTAATGCAAGTATGCGAAGTATCAAGATTAGTGTACTCAAAAGAACTGTTTTTTTAATTAAAATTTAGGCACATAGACTTCACACAAACACTCAGAAAGAACAGTGAGGACACGAATCACGAATAAATTTGACAGTTAATCATATCAACATCAATTTTAGCTGGGTGTAAAACGGGCGCGGCCCGAACCAATAGCTAAAATTGTTTGCGGGAACTTTTACCTAAATCTGTCTTCCTAGTTAAAAAATAGAGTATAGATTTAAATAATATGGCGAATCTCCGAATCGGTTTTGGTGGGAATATACTATCCTCCAGAATTCCATTGATCTACTTCCGAAGCCTAAACATTAGACATTTACAAACTACGTTCCACTATGTTACTATACCCTGCCCGAAAAGTTTTTTTTCAACATGGTACGCTACCTATTTGCCATAACATTTTACTTGTGGCCAGAAAATATTAATTTCATGTAACTATCTTTCCAATACAATGAACTACAAGCAATCCAATTAAACTATTGCGCCTTTCAGTGTCAATAATCATTAAAAAACTAAATGTACATTTTGTATTGATCTTTGAGATTTATTCTTCTACGATTATGTTGTAGACGGTGTCAAATGTGACCGATAATTAAATGGGAGTGTACTTTTTACGTTTAATTATTTCCGGATAGACTTACTGTTAGTGACACTGAAGCTTACATTGTTATAAAGCGTAGATTTTTATCTATAGGGCGGTCAGGCATAGCGGGTGGCCTCCGCACGCAGCACGATATCGAAGAATGCGCTGCTACCACGGAACTGTATTATTCCAGATTTTTCGTACTTGATTCTTTATGAAAGCGTCTTTTTTCTGGGTTTTTTGTACTACGGAGTTGGTAAATCTCAAGTGATAAGACAAAAAACTACAAAATGTAAAGGTGTACTTTCTGGATGTAACCAAGCTATTTGTATTCCTCCTACCCGAATGATATGTAGGTATATTTCCGCATGTACAACGCAGGTGTGTTGAACACCCGCACATATCGCATCGCATCACACACTGTTAAAAGACACATTCTTAAAGCACCCACAAAATACCGTAGCAACAAAGTTATCACCATTGTACTTTCAATTTATAGCAAGCTTTTAAAGGAAACTGTGTGAGTGTGAGTGTATGTATTGTAGGGTAGGTATATGGTTTCGTTGTTGTTGCAAAGTGAGGGTGTCAGAACCAATAACACGGTTTTAATGTAGTAAAATTATATTGTTGGTAAAAGCTATTTCGTCCCGTGTAATATTCAGTGTTCCTAGTACGCTGACGATTGTGGATCATTTTGCCTAGGCATATTATTTACAGCCCTAAATAAGCTACACTTCACATTAAATTAAATTAATATTTAAAAATCGTTTAGATGAGAATCCCGACGATTTGACAAACCGTTGGTGATCCGTGTACCAATCTTGGTGTTTCTGACTGACCGAAAAACAGGATAAACAAACTCCTGTCGGCAAAAAGGATGCAGATTTGAATTTGGTGCTTATTAAATAAATAACCGTTCCGTGAATTTGATTTGGCTTGGTTTTATATTAAATCTCGATTGATTCTCATATATAAGGAATAGTCAAATTTAACGTTCAAAATAAAAAAACTAAAATACAGTGATGTTATTTAATTGTACCCAATCACCTAAATCTAAATCATACACCAATTCATTTCAAAATTATAACTAAAAGATCCGAAGTGGACCTGAGATGACCCTGTGTTCATATGAAAGGGCGCATTTTCTGTATGAACATACATCTCAATCAACAATTACTAAAAAAAACGAAACATGTTCGGTTGAGATATCATCCTTAAGATTTGAATCATACACAAGTACACAAGATTTCAAATTAAATTATAGGTAAGAATTGTCTGACAAATTGCCAAAAAGTAAATACAAAACATTATGAATCAAGTATTGAATATACGAAACATTATACAATATAGGTATCAAACTTTCAAGGAGAATATTCGTGAAGCACACTTTTCAGGGATACCAAGGCTAAATACACAATCGCACTGGTTAAGGATGATTAATCGATTTTGTCAACGCGACTATCTTGACGTGTGATTTTTAAGCACAAGAGGGTTCCCAAAATAGAGAAAAATATTGGAATAGAAATAACTAATTTTTCACTTAAGAACTCTGCAATAATTCCTGATACTAGCGGAGCAACACATCTTCCGATACCCATAACACTTTCCGATGCGCCGGTTAATATCCCTCGATCACTGTCCGTAGATTTTTGTACTATTCCTTCCATTGTTATTATCATTAAACCAGAGCATGCGAAGGCAACTGGGATGGTGGCTATCAGCACCATTTCAAATGTGGACGCAGTTGCCATACTCATTAGACCAATTGTATAAGTCGCGAACAAATGTAACTGCAATCTAGAGTCCGCCTGTTTTTCCTTAGTAGAATAGAACACTTTTTTGATCCATCCAATTAAGATAACTGAAATAATTCCAAGAAGTCCAACAAATGCCACGTAATAGCCGGCCCCCTTTTGTGACAGACCGTAACGTGCCCCAATGTATACCAGTTGACTCGTGAACACGACCGTTATAGCAAAGCTGACAACAAATCTAAGGAAAAAGGGTTCCCAAAATTCCCTCCAGTTTACACTACCCAAATCTCTAAATATTTTAGTAACTTCCGTTTGGAAATTAAAGGTAGAGGTTTTAAGAGGTTTTTCTTCCAAGGTTTGCATTAAACCTAAAATTTTTTTTCTAAAATACCTTAATATAAGCTTTAATATAATCACCGATGGCAGCAAAATGGACGATTGAAGCGAATGTGCAAACATAAAAGAAACCATTTTCTCTTTCAATTAAATGCCCTCCTAAAATTGGTCCAAAAATTATCCCTAAAGTTCCAACTGCGCCCATAGTTCCATACGCTTCGGTGAGTCTATCTTTTGGCAATATATCCCCAACTACTGCCTTGCCTAAAATCTGGGTATGCTCAAATGTACCTAATAAAACACAAAGGCATACTTTCGATTTTGCATATACTTCTTACCTACCTATTAATATGTTGGCTAGAAATATCAAATACAGAGAGCTTGTTAAACCCATTATGAAACAGCAGGCTACTGCTACTAAGTAAGTCGTCGTCCATACAACTTTTCGTCCCCTTAGGTCACTCCAGCTTCCCTAAAAGTAAATTGATGAATTCGAGGTTTAATACTGCCTACTATGTGATCAAAAATGAGTTGCTGTCGAGTCACCTTTGGAATTCTTGTTTACATGTTGTTTACGTGATGTAACGGCTGCGTGGAACGAAAACAATTAAAGGCCAATTCATACTATAGCTCAGGTGACGCTCTGCTCAAAATATTGTAACATGCTATTTCAATAGGAATATTCACATTTGACGGTCAGGTCACGGTGAGAACATGTTCATAGAAATACACGGTACAATAATTGACCGGACCGTGATCTGACGGATAATGTCAATTGGCCTTAACGGAAATATGTATTCGTGTTAGTTAGGCACGATTTATAATAGCTGTGGTCCTAAATCTTACTTTATTATTTTATAAAGTAAATAAAGTTATGCTAAGAATTGTTCTCTAATCTACAAAACGGTAACAAAAAAGGTAAATGGCATCATGGAAATGTCATAGTTGTAGGAGAATTTACTTTGTAACTTGGCTTTACATAAAAAAACTAGGCTCTTAGAGAACATAGTGCCGCTTGTAAAAGATTTCGAGAAATTGGTGCTACCATTGAATAAAATCGCTATTTTTATTCAATGGTGCTACGAGCTATGAACCTACATGGTACCACAGACAACATATACAACATAATGTTCAATGCCTCATTTTATTTTCAAGGTCACAAAGTTGAATGACCTCATGTTTGTCGTATCTTGTTTCATTCTCAAGGTCACTGCCTCCATTTTTGCGGTCTCATATTTCATTTTTAAGGTCCACGAAAGACAATGGGCCCAGTTTTTGGTGTCAAATTGACTTTTTAACGTTATCAAAAGTTCAACGCCATCCATTTTTGTGGTGTCATACTCGTATTTCATTTCTAGGTCATCAGATGTCAAGGATTTGTGGTGTTATGGTTAATTCAATGGTCTAATTTTTGCAGTGTAAAGTTCCACTTTCAAGATCATTCAAGGTCAATGACTCCATTTGATGGTTAAATAAACTACAGATGAGTTCTGTATAAATTTGTAATTTAGTCAGTTGCCTTTTGCCGGTGTTCTGGAACCGTACGCAAAACTACTACCAAGAAAGTTGCCTTCTCCTTCTCCTTCTACTGTCCAGTTATTTGGATCTGCGGCGGCCTCGAACAGCCTCAATTAGATGGACTACGGCGATTTTTTATCGAATGTCGGTGGCTTAACTCAAACTTTCGTCGTACCAATACTCTCACACGTTTCGGCGGATTTTTTGCGGAAAGATTATGGAACGGCAGGTAGATCTTATGTGTTATCCCAGATGACACTTCACTCTTTTCGCGTTCTTCGGTCAAGATCATAAATCGCTTTCGTAGTTCATCAATTTCATTTTCTACCGTATGAATCTTATCCTCGATTTTATCTTGGACAGTCTGTATATAATTTTGGGCACTGTATCTGTCTGTATCTAATTTTGAATCCATTTTATGTAGCTTCCATGGCTTGTCGGCCGGCTTTCATTTCAGCCTGACCAGGTTCGATTTTAACCTCCATTGATTGTTGACCAGCTTCAAATTAAATTTCCATGGTTTGTTGAACGGCTTCCATTTTAGCTTCCATTGATTGTTGTCAGCTTGGAACCCGGCTTTCGTTTCTTAACAAGAACTTATCGAAGTCTGGACTCAGAACTGAATTCGAAACACAATTCAATTTGCTTATATTATATGTATAGTATACAACATTCTTTCTAGAATGTTCTTAAAATGGTTTCGAGTTCTCAGAATCGTTTCAGAATATTATCACAGAAACACGTAATATATATTTCTAGGAATAATTACGTGACATCCGCCTTCGTTACTTATCGTCGAGGACGAGGACTCATCTTTCATGGCGCCTCGCTGTCGATAGAAATTACTGGAATGTTCCCTACAGTATAATTAATGTTGCGTTCAAAGACTCCAAATACCATGCGATCAAAAAAGAGTTGCTGTCCAGGCACCTTTGGAATTTTTGTTTACATGAGAAATCATATTTAAGGTGAATTTCCAAAGACAACTCGACGTCAATCCTTTGTTGGGCAGAGACTTGCTTTGTTGGGTGTTTCATAATATATACGCAGGACTTCAACATGTGATAGCTGGTCCAAAAATTTGAAAAAAAAAGTTTCTATTAACCAGAGCTGGGCTAAGAGGTAATTTTTCGTACCACACAATGTTCATAATATGTGATTAAAGTGCTTGAATAAAATTGTAATTTAGACAAGCACAGTCCTTGGAAGCCCTGAAAGAGCTTGAAACCACTTTTACAAGCACAAAGTACTTTTGAAAAGGACTTGTAGAGGAAAAGGGGCTTGAAGCACTTTTCCTTGAAGTTTTTTTTTTTTTTTTTTTTTTTTTATTAAGGCTTTGGGGATCTTGCCCATTTTAGCCTACATTAGAGAAACCAGAGGACTAAACAAGGATTTATACGTTTCACGCTTTGGGGCCGATCAAAGCGACTTCACACAAAACATAGGTAGGCCACGGAAGGTTGGTACTTGGTAGCACATAAGGATGACATAATACGGGTTACAATTACAACGGTAGTTTACTTGCAGCTACAAAACGGACTAAAATGTCATAAACTCCCTTATCGTTGGTACTTAGAATTGTTGGTACATCGAGAGGGTGTGTCAACCCCAGCTTGAGTACGCCTTCCATCATGATATTCGTGTAATTTGTATTCTGCGGACAGGCGAGAACTAAATGATTCAAACCTGCTACCTCATAATTACAAAACGTGCACTGTGCCGAGGGAATCAAATTTATTCTGTGCAAATGTGCTGGAAATCTACCGTGCGCTGTTTTTAGCCTGACTATGCTTGATTGATAAAATCTATTGGATTTGTAATTATAGTAACACGGATTGATTGTTATTGAGGGCATTATACGGGTAGGTATACTGCGTGGGTCTTCTAAGGCATCGCTCTCTCCACTCGGCTTCCCATTGCGTTCGAAGAATTTGCTGCTTCATGAATGCCGTTTCATCCTGTTTGGACTGCGGGATGTTTAAAATGATTCCCGACTCCACAGCTCCTTTCGCCAATTTGTCCACTGTTTCGTTGTGGCTTATCCCAATGTGAGCTTTAATCCAATAAAAATAAATTTCAATACCTTCTTTACGGAGGCGGGCCACATTCGTGAGTATATCTAGGATATACGGGTTGGTACTGTAAAAATTAGTTTTGTTGTCCAAAGCTTTTAGTACACTAAGGGAGTCGCTCATCACAACAAGCTTTTTCGTGACTACCACATGAATTTCTCTTAACGCATAGGCAATGGCTGTTGCCTCCGCCGTGAAAATAGATGCGTTCCCATTCAACTTTAAATACGTTCTGTTGTCCTGAGGGTTGTATAAGGTAAGCACAACCGCAGCCATTCTCACCCTTTGAACCGTCCGTGTAAATAAAGAGAGCGTGTTGGTGTGTTCTAATAATTGACTGGTGTAGAAGATTATCCAAAGACGAAATACCTTGATATGGTGGGAAGGTGACTTGAATCTCCGAAATATAGTCGGTGTAATTAATGTCTTTACTGATAGCGCTTTCACGGAGGATAGCGATGTCAGACAGATTTCTAGATGCTGTTGCAAAAGGGGGAGCATTTTTTAACCGCCAATACAGGTTTACCAAATCTTGCACAGCCAACTCCGATAATTTTGGTAAAATCTTAGAATTCTGAGATTTGCACTTCAACACGAATTTAGAAGCCAGGAAGTTTCTTCTGATGGACAGTGGAGGTTCCCGTGCTTCCACCTGTACTACGTCTCCTGGAGAAGAGCACATTGCCCCCATGCAAAGACGTAGTGCCTTATTAGATACCGCGTCCAGACGTTTTAAATTTGAGTTCGAGGCACAGCCATACAAGATACATCCATAGTCAAGCAGACTTCTAACATACGTTTTGTAGATCTTTAAGTTAGAGTGCATGTCGGCACCCCAATTAACTCTGGAAATCATCCTAATCAGATTAATGCCCCTTTCACATCTACCTATCAACTTCTCTATATGCGGTCTCCACCTTAATTTAGAATCGAGAATCATACCAAGGTAAGAGATTTCTGAAGTTATTTTAAGTTCAACCCCCATCCATCTTAGCGAGCCTGTGGGCAAATCTCGATGCCGTGAAAAAAATATCGTTTGGAGCTTATCCACCGATAGATCGAAACCATTATCAAACAGCCACCTTTTTATGATCTTGAATTTAGCTTTTAATTGCTGCAATACGAGTTTTGTTGATTTATCTGTGGTATAAATGCAAAGATCGTCCGCATATTGGCATGCGTTGATATTAGGACTCCACATTCTGTAGAGATCCACACAATACATATTGAACAAAAGGGGACTAAGAGTAGATCCCTGAGGGATCCCGATCGATGTCATTCTGGGACCAATTAAAGAGTTCTTATTACTTCTTACGAATATTACTCGATTCCTAAAGAGGTCACAAATATTCCTCGCAACCTGATCTGGGACACCCATTTTGGTCATTTTGCTTTCAAGGAGGTCTAAGTTAACCTGATTGTAGGCATCTTTAATATCCATAAATATTGCGCCCAGGTAATCGTTTTTACTAAAACATATTTGAATGTCTGTTACCAGTTCAGCGAGTGCGTCAACCGTTCCTCTGCCAAAGCGAAACCCGTACAATTTATCTGGCAGAATCTGGCTTTGTTCCAGCCACCATTCCATCCGATTTTTAATCATTCTTTCGTACGTTTTGGTAATGCACGACAAAAGCGAGATCGGTCTGTATGAAGACACACGACCTGCCTCTTTATTTGCTTTAAGGATAGGCACGACAACGATTTTCTTCAATTCTTCCACCATATCCCCCTTAGTCCAAATATAATTAAAACACTCCAGTAGCAATTGTTTCCCCGTTATGGGTAAGAGATGCAGCATCGAATACGTGATATCGTCCTCTCCAGGCGCTGTGTTGTTAGATTTTTTCATTGCCTGTAGTAGTTCGGTTTTTGAAAAAGGCCGAGATAGAAAATGGTTGCACCGATCAAATTGATAGGGTCTTTGTTCTGTTGACACATATGCTGGAGTAAGATTTTCTAAAAAATCGGCAATCCAAGATTGCTCCCCGATAGCCTTCCCGCGCCATGGACCTTTGAATCTTCTAATATGGTTCCAGAATTCCGAGATTGGTAAATCTCTGGTGATCAAGCCCCAAGCACTTTGGACAAGTTTAGTAATTCAATTACCAAGTCCTAATTACATACACAAGAAAGTGCTTAAAGTTCAGGGCTTGAAAGTCCTGAAAGGACTTGAAGCCATTTTACAAGCACAAAGCCCTCAAGCTCTGCCCAGCTCTGCTATTAACCTACCCTCTAAAATGCAAAATTTTCGAGACTCGTTGAAAAAAATTTCGTGTTTTGTGAATATCTCCGGAACCGTTTATCGTACTGAAAACAGTCTACTCATAATAAGCTATGTTTTGTGCGAAAAAAAATTGTGTTAAGGTCATATAATTGGTGAAGATTTTGAAGAGATAGTGGGTGTTTTTCTCTCCAACTTCGATGCCACTGGAAAAAGTACCAATGGTTTTGAGGCCATCTGAACCGCTACACAAAAAAGGTTTTCTTGGTCATAAACTCTAAAGTTTTCGAAAAATCAACTTTTAGGTATGTTAAAAACATGGTAAATTTTTTTTAATAAAAATTTTTTTTTACTAATTAACCAAAATTTATTTAAACGTTAGAACAAGAAACAAAACCAACCGTTAACTTCATAATTCCAAAATTAAAAAACAAATCATACACAGTTAAATTAAATGTTGGAAATGTCCTCCGTTAGCTTCAATCATTGATTAAAAATGCTTCAATGCACACAGTAATTCTTCGTCGCATTTACTGTCTAACATGGAGTAAAATTCCTAGAGTGTTCCGAATTATGTCGCAAGATGCAACAATGCGTTCTCTTAATTGGTCAACATTTTCAATTGCAGTATCGTAGACTAGGGTTTTGTGATGGTCTCATAAGAGAAAATCTAAACAATTAAGTTCGGAAGATCGCGGGGTCCAAGAATTCGGGCTTCCTCGACCAATCCAACGGTCTTGGAATTCGTCGTCCAAGCATGGCGAGCAACCAAACTAAAGTGCACATATTGCTCTAGCTCATAAAACATTATGGGTGTGGGAAGGGGAACATCTCTTTAAGGAATTGAATGTAGCTTCGGATTAGGTTAACGGATTTTCAGATAATAGGTCTTGTTGGAAAGAGCTCTCTTCGTGGAATCAGATTTTACATAAATATAGTCTTTTTAGTAAATGTGATGAGTGGTAGAGGGCGCGATGTGACATTAACAAAAACTTTGCAGTTTTTTTTGAAAATTTCAAATGGAACGATATAATTATTATATGATATTATCAAATAAGATGAAAAAGTGAGAATATCAGTGAAAACCGCATTTTGATATCTGTTTTCTAGGCAGAGATATGGCAAAAATACGAACGTTCACAAATTTTAATTGCAATATTGATGCTCATTCAAGTTGGCTTTGAAACAAAAGAAACACTACCGTACTACGTAAAAAACTATCAGTTTATCACAGTCTGTATCATCCTGCGAATTATCACCACGATGGGTGCCCGGCACATTTCTTGATAAGCGAGAGTGTTTGAATTTGAGTTTTCCTGCCAAATGGATAGAAAGAGGAAGTATTTTTTCATGGCCAGCTAGGTCACTCGATCTAACTTGCTTAGACTTCTATTTGTTGCAAAGGATAAAAGACGTCTTTGAAACAAGGCCAACTACAAGGGACGATACAGTGGCGAGAATTAGAAATGTAATTTCATACCCATGGCGGAAGTTGAAGCAACTGTTCTCTCTACACGGCAGAAACTCGTCTTTGTATCGAAAATGATGGCAGACATTGAACATTTACGTTAATTATAATTATTATTTTTTTTATTATTTACATAATTCATATTTCTCTGATTTAAAGTTTGAATAATTTTTTTGTTGATGTTGATTGAGTGTTAATTTTGAACTGCCATCGCCTCATTCACTTTGACATAATTATCGCATTTGTGTGTTCAATTCTTTCAAATCCAAATTGGATGAATATAAATATTGCAATTAAAATTTGTGAATGTTCATATTTTCGTCATATCTCTGCTTAGAAAACAGATATCAAAATGCGGTTTTTACTGATATTCTCACTTTTTCTTCTTATTTGATAACATCATACAATAATTATATCGTTCGCCATTTAAAATTTTCAAAAAAAACTGCAAAGTTTATGTTAATGTCACATCGCGCCCCCTACCACTCATCACATTTACTAAAAAGACTATTCATGTAAAATCTGATTCCACGAAGAGAGCACTTTCCAACAAGACCTATTATGTGAAAATCTGTTAACCTAATCCGAAGTTACATTGAATTCCTTAAAGAGATGTTACCCTTCCTCCACCCCTCATATTTTGAGCTAAAGCAATTTGTGCTGCATCAAAATGATGCAAAATTGATACAAGATTGCTATGCATGTATTTTTTATGCATGTTTGTTGGGTATATTTTAGAAAAAAAGTCATTTTTCTACTTAACCATGAACGCCCTCTAACGGCGAAGTTAGAAACTTGAAAATAATTTCCAGCTATTTCTCTTGGCTCCTTTTTCCCGAAGCTGTGCAATTAACACTTCCATAGATAAGGCCTGTGACCATTATTAATGGGCCACCCTTTACATTTCTGGTCTTTCTAAAAGTGTTCTTCTACGGGCCAGCATTTGCTGCCAGCCAGCCAGCCAGGCGATCAATAGCTACCTTTTTACAAATAAATTTTAAAAAAATGCGTTAACAACCAAACCACTATCTTCTTATTTTCGAAATCCAAAAAAACTTTTTGGAGACGCTCGTCCAAAGCCACAAGTATCATTCACTCATAATTACTTTTTAATGATCCAATATTCTAGCTAGATGTCAACCTAGACTATTAGTAATTGTAAATTATGCCAAAAATGGAGGGGTGGAAAGAGACGCCACGTATTTGCAATTAAAATATCTGTGTGGCAATTCGAGAGGTGGCGAATGCGGAAGCACCGACTGGTCTATGAATTGAGCACATAGCGATCATGTACCTAATGATGGATCCATCTTTTATTTGGAACTCGTAAAGATAAGTGCAAGTATAAGCAACAAGGGGCATACAAAATAAAAATTTAGGAAACACAAAAATTAGAGAAACACAACATAGCACCCCATTTGGGGTACAATGCTCATCTTGTACTACCAAAAAATATCTTTTTCAACTTTTTTTTGTATTTTTTTCAATGTTGCGTCATAAAATTTTCTTAGCAAACCTCAGATTCGGATTCAGCACCCCAAAAAACATATATAATCAAAGAAATCAAAACTACCCCACAACTTTCCTGGTAAAAATACAATTTAACTGGATGATTAATTTTTTATTCAATGATAAAGCGTTTTCTCCTTAAATTAAGTTTTATTGGATAAAGAGTAAAATTTCAGGTTTAGTAGATCGTAAAAGCAATTACACAAGATTTTTAAAAGTGGATTAATGCTGAAGGTCTGTTAGAACAACCCTTATTATTATTTCGTATGCCTTATCATTAACACGGTTACACAAACGCCTGCTCCTATGCAACTTACATAACTTTACATATACCAATCCCCCAATATGAAATGGTAGGTACATAAACTGCTGTGGTATCCTACCACAAATATCTATTGCATTTTTAATTTGAAAATGAGTTACTTAACACATGAATTATGTACCGTGCGTTTGTCTGTTTGAAGAGATGAACTCTTATCACTGAAACCTCCAAGATAGCGTTAGCTGTCGTTTATTTGTTGTGCAGATTTTATTAACGTGTGTATTTGTCGGGAACCTCCAGATTTCTTCTTCTTATTTTGTTCAGAGATTTCGAAGAAAATAGCGGTTTGTTATAAAAATACTTCACCACTGCTACTACACTACGTACCACTAATGGTCCCGCTAAAACTTGAATCCCAGCAAACAAAGCATTCATTAATCCTATTAGAAAATGTGATCCTCCTAATGATCGTATATGGTGCGGTATGACTGGTAACAGGGCTAGAGTTGCAACTCCATTCTATGTAAGGAAATATTATTACAGAATTGGTTTTTAAAATTGCACTTGATACATACAAGTACAGCAATTATGGATAGTTTCAGCAGTACTTTTTCCATTATACTCTGTTTCTACTAATCACTGCACGGGACAACTGTATTGTCAATTTTACACGTTTTGAGATACAGGCCATTCAGATTAGATAAATTATATTATGACGACTATCGTTTCAGTAATTAAAGCATAATCCTGATCATTCGAACAAGATAGCGCAAATTATGTGAGTACAGCTATAGCGCGTTCGCACCTCCAAATGCAGTATGGTGCTTATGAACAGTACATGCTTGCCAAACGTGACAATGACAGCATTGACAGCACAATGAATGTTTGAATCTTAGACCATATAGTACATGGACTGCTAATTGTAACTAAAATATGGTCAAGGACATCGCCTGGGTATATGCGTTTCAGGGTAAACGAGTCTGTCCGATGAAGCACGATTTGAGGCTGTCAACCTATAAATTAACAAACGTCAATTAATTAATCGCCTAGATATTGCAAAAAAAAGCAAACCTATTCTCATTTGTGGACGTATAGAAGATAATCAAGAGTATTTAAAGCTTCCTGTACTACGCGGTTACCATAAAAGCTACTCTTTACGCGATCCGAGTGGTGTTCATACGACTTTAGTTTACCCTGAGATTCACATACCCACGACTACAGTGCCCTCTATCCGTGACCACCCATTTTGTATTGAAAGCATAGGGCTAATAGCAGTCCATGTACTATATGGTCTAAGGTTTGAATACTTCAATGGGTACGTTCCACTTAACGCCCGCAACGACCACGACGCCCGGCAGCCGTTCCACATAACGACCATAGTCGTTCATGGTCGTTATGGTTGCGATCGCGACGTCAGATATGACGTCATTACTAGTAATTAATAATTACCCGTAACGATCACGACCGCGACCGCGGTTTTGTCGTTCCACTAGCTTAGATGCGTTGTGGGCGAAACCTTAAAGTAGTTAGAGCGCCTAGGTAAAAGTAACAAGAAGTTGGTGAAAATTTGGTCACTTATTCTCTGAGAGACGCACTTTCCAATGGTCAAAAGAAAAAAGTGTTCCTATGTGCCGTTTCTGAGATATTTGACAGTAAAGACAGGGTATTTTAACATGGGCTCTTATGGACAGACTCAGTTTTTCTGAGCTAGAGAAGGTTTTTGTATCAAGACTTAAATGAGATGGGTCTCATTAGAAGCGAAATTTTGTGACGAATCTAAATTTGCACGGAAAAGTACATGTTCATGATGAAATAAGGAAGATATTTACCGCCGAAGCGGCGTCTGCTCTGACGCGGCGGCACGCTATGCAGTACGCGTTTCAATCTGATGACTTTTCCACTAGGTCTAGTATATAGCTGAGCTAGGACAATCTTTTCCTTCTTCTGCTGGGCACTTTTCTTCACAAAAGGCATGGTGTCTTTCAGAAAGAACACCAAAACCAGCGATATTTATCAAGGCCTGCACACGTCTTGTTGACACACTGATCGGATCGAAATCAAAATAGCGGCTGGGGATCTCTGGCGCCAACATCGAAAAACCAAATCCACTACACCGACTTCACGTAAAACGCCAAATTATTTAGTTTCCCGGCTTTTACATAAGTCTTGCATACGTTTTGATTAAAAAGAAATATATTCGTTTAGGATTTACCGCTTAACTGTGAATATTTAGTCGCGGTGTGTCGTCAACATTTAGTGTGCAAAGGTTTGAAACAGGGTCGAAAAGTAGGGAGACTATATAGTCAAGTTGACTACTGTATATACCTTTTTAAAAATCATGTAAGACGTTTGCATTGTACTGAGGTACAAAATACCACTCATACCGTATTTCTAATTATGTTTCCTTCATAACAACATTTTTTTGGGGACGTTTACCGTAAGTAATAGGTAGGCCGAGTACATCACTTGACTTCAGCCGAACGCGCTCTAACTACTTTAAGTGGAACGCTTTTGAGTACGGTGTGACGTCACGAGTGAGTGAACAGTTTTCCAACATGGACGGCATTGAAGAGATCGTAATGCTTAAAGGATACAAAGTGGGGTGGATTATGAATTCAAAAGTCACATTAAGTTAGTAAATATTTTTTTATTTTTCAGTACCAATTATTGACACAAACTTCTTCGCTTTACACAAGATATTGCTTCTTGTTAATAAAATATTGCAGACGACTTTTGAATTTCTATCATAAATGCTGCGGCCAAACTTAATACGATGATAATGAACACTTCTCCCCAGAATTTCTCTGGGAATGCTGCTTCGAAAACCATTTCTCTTCTTCATTCAAAACTAACGTGCATTCTCATTTTCATCAATCGTTGCATTACCATTTATATGAGTCTCATTCGCATTCCCTGGTAAAGCACTTTGCAGCAAACTAGTTGCAAATCTAAGATCAACAATAAAGAAAATTGTGTTAAAGCAGAATTTTCCTTAACAAATAACTTTAACGTTCAGGAATAAGCATATATACTTACCAGTTTGTGCATGTGGAACATCCATAGTGTAATGTCCACCACAAGGTTACGTTCTGAAACACGTAATTATATTTTCTCCATAGCGAAAACGAAAAATTTGTAACGCATGCGTGTTCAAACAATCAGTGTCTGACAGTTAAATGTCTCTAGAAATGTCTCCTGTCAAGAATGTAAGGTTATAAAATTAGAACGCCCACGCTGACCCAGGTACGATAGGCGAGCGCCGTGGGCTCGGTGCGGTCGCTAGTAATGACGTCATATCTGACGTCGCGATTGCGACCATAACGACCACGGTCGTTATGTGGAACGGCAGCCGGGCGTTGTGGTCGTTGCGGGCGTTAAGTGGAACGTACCCTTTGTATCCTTTACGCATTACGATCTCCTCAACGGCGTCCATGTTGGAAAACTGTTCACTCACGCGTGACGTCACACCGTACTCAAAAGCGTTCCACTTAAGGTTTCGCCCACAACGCCTCTAAGCTAGTGGAACGACAAAACCGCGGTTAGAAACAAGGATAGTATTATCGAAGAATGACGCAAACTAGTAAGAGAGGCAATTAGTCCATAAGACCCCATACTGCATCTGGAGGTGCGAACGCGCTACAGTAGCTAGTATAAAAACTAAAAACTAGAATTTATATGGCGTTTACGTCACGCGCTTCCTCTTGTTTACAGTTTACATGTTACAGTTACAGGTTCTTCGTGCGCAAAGTGTCATTTTGAGCTACCAAAGGGCTGAAATGAAATTTTGGAAAGATAAAAAACCTCGTAAAAAACCGTGAAAATGACACGGCTCGCATGCTGGCCAGTCTCAATGTATCGGGAACCCGTTAACGTTTTTCTTTGATTCGATTTTCTATTTATTTTACGTTTGACACTATTAATCACAAAGTACTTTTTGCTATCTTTAAACATATTGGGTTTGATTGCACAACAATTACATTTTTTTAAATCATATTTATCGCACCGGTCGCAAATTGTGCAATTGCATAACAAATTGTCAAACAAAAGGTTTGTTTCCGGGAGAAGTGTACCGCAGGGGTCGAATTTAGGCCCTCTGCTATTTCTTATATATTCCTCGCGACTTTTTTCTTGTTTAATGTTCTGTAATTATCATAAATACGCAGACGATCTGCAGATTTATTTAACGTTTGATGAGAAAGAGGTTCGTACAGCTTGTGACAAGATTAAAGAAGACCTTAATAATGTATTTAATTTTTCTCAGAAGCACTCTTTGTTAATCCTAACACATCTTGTGCAATCTTATTTGGTCCTAGATATGCATGTGAAAGGGTAAAGCCTTTAATATCCATAGATATTAACGGCACGCGTATCCCGTTATCTACCCGCGTCAGGAATTTAGGATTGCTCATGGATGAAGGTTTAAGGTTTAACTACAATATTTGAATTTCAAAGGTCTTACAAAATGCATATTGTAACTTAAAAATGATATTTATGAATCGCCACGTACTGAATAAGAAGATCAAAGCCTTACGATGTGAATCTCTAGTATTATCCCATTTAAACTACTGCGATACACTTTATGATGCTTGTATTACTATAAAGGATAGTAAGAGAATACAAACATTGCAAAACTCCTGCGTGCGTCTCATATTTGGTATGAAAAAATTTAATAGCTGTGGAGATCAAACTAAAGAAATTAAATGGTTGACTATGAAGGATAGGAGAGAGTTACACAAAGCCTGTTTATTCCACAATATAATATTGTTTAAAACCCCTGCTTACCTGTACAATAAAATTTCGTACCGAACGGAGTACGGACGTACATAATGTGAATATTAGGTTCAAAGGAAGCCTATCAATTATTAAACACAGAACGTCTCTTTTTAAAAGATCTTTCAGTTATCAAATTGCCAATCTTTATAATAGTGTTCCGAGTTCGCTTACATCGCTTCACATGAAACCGTTTAAAAGAATATTCAAGCAAACATTAATGTGTCGCTCTAGGAGATAATGCCAAGTTTCGTTTGGTTCCAGTTTTACTTTATTTACTCTTAATAGCATTTTTCTTTATTCCCACTGTGTGTTTTTGTATTGTTCTTCATACTTTTTCTTTCATCCTCTCGCCAGGGCATATTATACGTAATTTACATTGTCTAAGTAAACGTTACAACTTGTCATCTTTTTAGCGCATTTCCACAAAAATAAAAATAAAATGCGCTATTGTGGCCACTTTGTCCGTCCGTCCGTCCGTCCGTCCGTCCGTCCGTGCGGCTGTCCGTCCGTCCGTCCGTCCGTCCGTCCGCTCGTTTTGCGACGCTACTAGTTCTTTATCTTAAGAGCTATTGTTCTACTTTTTTCGCTATTTGGTTCGTTATGGTGTCGAGTCTTGAAGGAATTTTTTCTGTACCGCTTACAAAAAAAGTTATTGTAAAAAAAACAAAAAACCGTTTTTTTACATGTTCTATAATTTTACACTTTTGCCGTTTATTAACGATCCTAGAGATCGCTTATAATTTTGCATTGCTATCTGTCGTCTGCATGCTGGTCTGTCCGTCTGTTCCTTTGTCTGTCTGTCCATCTATCTGTCCGTGTGAACGATAACTTTGTTTAGAAATGTTCGATCGCTTTTAAATCTCCGTTAGTTATGAACTGAATTGCATGAAATTCAATATGGGCATAGCTTTAGCCATATAATACGCAATGCCAAAAGTTGAATCGGATCGATTCAAAATTCACAGTGCCCTTTTCGCATCTCGACCATTTATAAACCGAATTGCAAACTTTTTTACTTATAAAAGTATTTGAATGAAATTTGATACATAGGCACTTGTAATAAAGAAAAATCAAACGCCAATTTCAAAATGTGGTTTTGCGCATGCGCAGTGCCAACTTTTTTATTTGCGGAAGAATTTAAACGAAATTTGATACATAGGCACTTGGGATAAAGGAAAATCAAACGCCAATTTCAAAATTTGGTTTTGCGGATGCGCAGTGCCAACTTTTTTATTTATGGAAGAATTTAAACGAAATTTGATACATAGGCACTTGGGATAAAGGAAAATCAAACGCAATTTCAAAATTTGGTTTTGCGCATGCGCAGTGCCAACTTTTTTATTTATGGAAGAATTTAAACGAAATTTGATACATAGGCACTTGGAATAAAGAAAAATCAAACGCCAATTTCAAAATTTGGTTTTGCGCATGCGCAGTGCCAACTTTTTTATTTATGGAAGAATTTAAACGAAATTTGATACATAGACACTTGGGATAAAGGAAAATCAAACGCCAGTTTCAAAATTTGGCTTTGCGCATGCGCAGTGCCAACTTTTTTATTTATGGAAGAATTTAAATGAAATGTGATACATAGGCACTTGGAATAAAGGATCATCGAGCGCCAGTCTCAAAATTTTCTTTTGCGCATGCGCAGTGCCAACTTTTTATCTATGGCACCATTTAAGTGAAATTTGATACTTAGGCGCTTGGAACAAAGGAAAATCTAACATTAGTTTTAAAATTTAGGGTTTGCGCATGCGCAGTTCCAACTTTCTTATTTAGAAAAGCATTGAAATGAAATTCTTCTCATAAACTGAAATTGAAGTAACACGTCAAAAATGGATTGCCCATGTGCAACGCTATCTCTCATATTTGTGGCCGGATTTTTACGATTTTAACAGAAGTTGCATCTTATAAATGGGAAATGAATGCAAGTGGAAATGCGCTTTATGTAAATCGTTTACGATTACTTTTTAACTTGTTCTTTTTCTTTTTGGTTAGTTATGTTTTCGTGATTAGGTGGAAGATCAGCAAGAGGAGCTGTCTCGCAATGCTGAACCTCGTCACTAGGTTTCTTTACTTTAATTACCTTAATTAAATTAAATTACACATTTACGATTGATAACAGATAAAAGCAAACAAATTCCCCGGAAATTTCTACCTTAAATAAAAATGTAATCAAAAACCACCTTAACCGCTTTCTAGTATGTCAAAAATAATCCCCATGCCGTTACATAGACCAACGACCAATTAATTAGGATGTCCGAAAATTTCATCCTGCTAGACGAAATAAACACAACAATATGTTACTGTTTTGTGTAGGATTGAAGTGTCTGATTTGCTATTGTCGTAATGTGTGTATTTGTGTTTGGGGCAATTGTTTTATGTCTATAAGCCCTCTACCTCCTTACGAACGAGAAAGATAAAGCTGTATAGTAGAGGAGCGAGAGTGATGTATACGGTATTTTTTTTAAATGTATTCACCAGTGACTACGCCATGAGTGAATTACCTTTCACGCGATGGATAGTTTCCCTTTACCGTCGTGTATAATACAAAACTTTATTTTATAGCAGAAGCCATATAACAATATATAAAACTTCTATAGGTATTTACTTTAGACGTCCAAAATAGCAAGCGCATGTTCTCCCGTCGTTTCCATGGAAAGAATATTGTATTCTGTGCTGAACTTTTATATCGTCATCCGCGTCGCATTTTTAATAATAATGACAAATACATTATGCGGGCACTCTGTAATTGGGCGAAAGCCTGTTGAGGGCCCAGAACAAGAGGGGGACAATAAATAAATAAATATAGATATAAATGTCATTTGAATGCACAATGATTTTTCACTTTATCTACCCTTGCGGTTAAAAAGACACTTGGTCTACTCATTCAACCTTATTAAAATCATAATATAACACAATATACTTTGTTAAAATGTAATTTAACATCTGCTATAAAAATACAAATTCGAATATTTTTTATATTGGTGTATTTAGTACTTTACACAGTAAGCTTACATAATAAACTTAAAATTGAATTTAAATAATTAAATTTAAATAAATAGTGTATATGCAAAAACATACAATGATACCACTCAACGATGATACTAAATATATACTTCTGACATGGGTGATGGGAAGGGAAGCATGTCATTCGGACTGAAGTCAGGCATACGATACGCTGTTTAGATAAAATAATCTTGCGACAAACCTTGACTATTTTTCGTAAAACTGTTTTTATTCATAGTGTCGAACCTGAGTGCAGGACCAAGGCGCACACTAGTCACTGGTGGCTTTCTTGTAGTTAGGTACCTAGATGCTCGATTAAGGTTGCTGGTTCGAATCCGAGTTTGGGCATAAATTATTGTAAACATGTGTTGGGTTGAATTTCTAGAGCAGCCTTGGCTGAAAACCGCTCGTTTAAAAATCAGCAAATAATGGAATAATTTCGCTGCAAACGTTTAAATTTCGGCATATCGAAAATGTTGGGTCATATTTTCAACGGAGTTTCCTTAGGGTTACGGTGTTGTATGAGGAAGAAATCTATGTTTGTCTAGGTGTTTCATTTTCATACACAAAAACATTGCTAACACTGAGAATAGTATCGGAACGGCTGTGACCAATCTTTCATGAAACAGATCCGCAACGATCCCCATTACTAACGGGGCAAGGCATCTGCCTATACCTAAAACACTTTCCGAGGCGCCAGTCATTACCCCCCGATCACTATCTATAGACTTTTCTACTATCCCGTCCAGTGTAGTTATCGTTAGGATAGAACTTGAAAAGGCAAGTGGGATTGTAGCCAACAGCAAAGCTTCAAACGTAGGTGCGATATGCACTCCAAGTAAACCAACGGTATTTATTACGAACATGTGGAACTGCAGTTTCCCACTATTAGAGCAATACACTTTTTTTATCCAACCAGTGAGACCATATGAAATAGCGCTAAGAACACCAAGATATGCTACGTAATATCCGACTGATTTTTGTGGTAAATCGTAACTGTCCTTCATGTATAGAATTTGGTATGTGAACACCACAGTCATAGTAAAGCTCACAACAAACCTAAGAAAGAAGAGTGGCCACAATTCTTTCCAATTTACTCTTCCCAGTTCGCTAAATATTTTATTAGTCTCCTTCTTCATATTTTTCCAACTAAAAACAGTTGTCTTGAGGGTGTTTTCTTCTAACGTTTGAATGATGACTGCAAATGCCGAAATTAATGATCTACCTACTTTGAGTTGTTTTTTGTTACTTATATTAACGAAATGTAAAAAACACGTGCACATACACACGTAAAGGAATCCATTATCTCGATCAATCAAATGTCCCCCGAAAATAGGTCCGATGATCACGCCCAACGAAGAAACTGCGCCCATGCTTCCGTATGCGTCCGCGAGCATGTCTTTATGGCATTTGTCAACAACCAATGCTTTACTTAGTGTCGGACTGTGTTCGAAAATGGCTAAAAGTATAAGAAAATAGTTTCGTTGTAGCTTGAATGAAGCATTGTACTCACCTAATACTATATTGATCAGGAAAAGTAAAGGCAGTGAGGTAGTCAGACCTAATATGATGATGCTTACTGTTGCGACGCAGTACGTCAATGTCCAAACGAACTTTCTTCCTTTTATGTCGCTCCAACTTCCCTAAAGCAAATTAGGAAATGTTGAATCAAACCAACTGCTGATCTAATTCTAACAGTCTTACTGTAGGTATAAACTAGATGAAATGGAAATTTCTTATAATTAGTTCGAAAGTCGTCCCAACGCATTTTTTTTCTATTTTGATATTCACAAATAACCGTAATTGTAGTTGTAGATATACATTTACGTGTTCGTGTTAGATTTATGAAAACTCGCGTAATTTTGAATATTGTTTATTATTTATTTTTTGTTCAGCGTTTTGTTCACGAACAATTCCAAGTCGAAAATAAATAAACTTCCTCTGGGGGCTCTGGGCACCCTGTAATCACCGTATTGTAGAATAAATATAAAATCTGTGATAGAATTTAATAAGTATCCGACTGTCGTATTATTGCTGCGCTGCGATAACAATTAACACGCATAATTTGGGTTTGCGTTTATGTTTATTAATTCTTTTTGTATTTTGTTTATGTATATTAAATACAATAAAATTTTAAATCCACTGAAGAAAGGCGTCTCAAATATCTGGTCTACTAAATAAAACTACTGATTCAAGTTTTCTTTGGCCTACACACTTTACAAACGTTCAGTTCTATCCCAACGAAGGCCGAAAAAACAACCTATCAAATTATTTATACCCATATATAACATTTTGACAGACTTTTCAACTATGTACCTATCTAATGTATCACAAATAGAGGTTAGCTATTCATAGATTCATACTAAAAGATTAAGGTGTATGTATATCTCCCTCTCTCTGTCTCACCCCCTCACCCTCTCACCCCCTTCTTCCTCTCTCCCACTCCACTTCTATATATTGGAAAAGGGAAAAATATGGTTATATGAACATTGGAACAAAGAGGATTGTTAGTGTACGATTTGCGGATGACATGATTGTATTTACTGAGAGTAAAAAAGCACTTAAGCTATTATTAGAAAAGGTGAAATGAAAACAAGAGTTAAAAATAACAAAAGCTATGAAAGTGGGAGCGCAGGATGATATACGACATATCCGATATGTACGTAAAACTAATGATAGACGGAGTGCGGATAGAGTAAGTTGCAAGATATAGGTAACTATGTAGATTGTAGGTACAAAGATAATACCTACAAGGTTGGAAAAGTGAAAGAGAAATTAAGATCAGGATAGCCATGGCATCACAACAAGAATGTGATAGTACGAACATATAAGATAGATAGATAGAAATAAAAAGATTGGTAAAGTGAGTGTTCTAATGTACGGTAGTGAAACGTAAACAGCAATGAAAAGACATAGGGAAAGGTCGGAGGCTTTTGAAGGTGGATATGGAAAAGAATGGTGAACATCAAATGAACTGATAAGATATGTAATGTAGAAGTATTAAGTAGAATTGGAGAGGAAGGATGTATATATGTTAAAAATCATAAAGCGAAAAATACTAAGAAAGAGCTGTTTGTTGATGAAAGTAATCCAGAGAACTGTTTATGGGAGAAAGGAATAGAGATAGAAGATTAAGGAAATTGGTTGACGACCTGAAGGAATAAAGAGAAGAGCAAAGGATAGAGAGCCGTGGAACGGACCCATCAGGAACTTGCATTAGCAGAAAACTCATGATGATGATGAATGGATGAACGAGATTTACAGTTATCAAGCTTGCAGACAATTAAACACATAGCTGTAGCTGTAGCGCATACTTTGATAATATAAATTGTATAAATTCCTGTTTGCGTATTTTTATTTGGATTTAGAGAGACTGCCCCCCTCCTTTTCTATAAAGTCCCTAGATTACTACTTTTCTATGATAAGACACGCCCCCTTCCGCTGGAGGCAAGTACCACACCTTGAAAATCAGTACTTCCCGCATTTTTTTCGCTCACATTTCAATTTCAGTAGCACGTGCTCAAGTACCAAATCCGTTACAAATCTGTGCGCTGTCGTAAAGGTGAATGGTGATAACTGATAAGGATGAATCTATAGAAATGTTTATTCAAGGATACAGCGATACTTATAATCTAAATATAGCTACTGATAATGTGTTTTAAATGTATAATATATGGAATGGTTTGTACCTACTTTAAAAATTTTGATTATAAAAACTGAAAATGAAGAATTTCTAAAAGAAAGCTTACGCACAACAACAGGACCTGTTAAAACTTGAACGCCAGCAAATGCCGCATTAAACAGCCCAATTTGAAAAGTTGACGCTCCTAAGGACTTTAAATGTTGAGGTATTACTGGTGCTAAGATCAAAGCCGCTATCGTATTCTAAAATAAGAAATTAGTCTTTTTATCAAAATGTTAATTTATAGGTACGTACAAGTAAAGATATTATAGATAGTATTACAAGTACTTTTTCCATTCCTTTGGTTTTATGTGCACGATTGTAAACCACCTACTGACAATAATAAACGTAATATTTTTTACATGCTTTGACAATCATGATAAGCAAAAGATAACTTTATAGTGAGTAGTTCCTGAAAAAATAAAATTAATTTAATTCAATACTTACTCTGACTACGTATTGATCCCCTTTTATAATTGATTTAAATTTAAATGTTGACATTGCAAATCTATAAAGTGTCCTATTTGCAATATTTTTGAGATCATTTATTAAATCACCCTCGATCAATTATTATTTTTTTTTAATATCGTGTATGTTATTTCTAGGGAATGCAATACCGGGATCCCGCAGCCTTTTTGCGGGATTAATCCCGTACGTAAATGGAGCAGGATCCCGCGGGATTTGCGGGATTGCAGAATTTATCGACCAAGCTTACCACCATACATTAGCAACTCTGCGAATTTGATTATTTCGCACATTTTTGTTGTTGCAGTTCATGCAATAATTATGCGCAAACCTGTATCTGTTATCAACTTTGTTAAACAGCGTGTGAATGCGCAAATCGGACGAATTTTGCTACTGTTTTAAAACGCAGTAACCGTTATTCTTGTACGTCGAGTGTGTTTATAAAAGATGTTTGGAAATATTGCATCGAATATTCTAGAAATACAGATAGACATGGAGGGGCCATAAAAGATTACTCACCGGCGACAAGAAAAGACGACGGATGTGATGCATTCTTTCCGCGAAATACAATATGTTTTCTTGAGAATATTCTATTAACTGCACAAAATTGCTTATTTCCGAATGTTTTTACAATTTTGCGGGATCTCCCAAATACCGGGATCCCGCGGGATTAGTATGTAATGATCCCGCAAATACCGGGATCGAAATTTTGCTACGGGATTGCATTCCCTAGTTATTTCTTTAGCTTATCAAGGACCAGAACAAGGATCTCTTAGTCTGCCTTGTTTCCCCATGTCTCTCACCTGCAGTATCTGTGCTTAGCATTGGCATGTGCAGTCCATTTATTATACAGGGTGAGATTTTTAGCTTCCTAGCATGTGCTAGGTAGCTATTGCGATAGCCGTTTTTTGAACATTTCAAAATTTCATCAAATGTCGACGTTTTAGACCATTTTAAGCAACTTTTAAAGAATAAAATTTTTTTCCGTCTGTATGTACGTACGTACGTACGTTTGTTGGCAATTTTCTGAGAAAACGGCTCGACGGATTTTGTTGAAATTTTGTATACAGGGTGGTGACTTGCGTAACGCATCATAGGGATTTCAATGTAAAATTCATAACATGCGATTATTGGCTCCCCAAATTATTTTAGAGTAAAAATGTATTAAGGTTTTTTGTAGGAAAAAAATTTTTACGTCAATCAACCCTATTAGTTTTCAATTTTTTGCATAATAAAGACGGAAAATTGGAAAATAAAACCGCCATCTTTTTCAATAATCTGCGATGCCATGGAATTTTCTAAAACAAAAAGATATCCAGTTATCAATTAGCAGCAGTTCGAAATGGCTTTTATTATCGACTTGGTTACTGTATTGCAGTTAATGGTGACTTATTCGAACATTTATTGTAAATTGTTATATTAGGAAACCGTTTTTAGTAATTTGGTCTTTCTTTATGTTGAATTCGCTGTTCTAAATATAATACTTTTTGATAGAATTTGATTTGTTTTATAGCGGACATTCCATAGCATGACGGATATTGGCGTAGTTTTTGTATTATAAAATTCCATGGCATCACAGATTATTGAAAAAGATGGGGGTTTTATTTTCCAATTTTCCGTCTTTATTATGCAAAAAATGGAAAACTAATAGGGTTGATTGACGTAAAAAGTTTTTTTCCTACAAAAAACCTTAATACATTTTTGCTCTAAAATAATTTGGGGAGCCAATAGTCGCATGTTATGAATTTTACATTGAAATCCCTATGATGCGTTACGCAAGTCACCACCCTGTATATGTTTTAGGCATACCGAACAGAAAAATAACGGGCCGGATTCTTGAAAAAAAATTTTGGAGCGCCGTAACGGCATCGAACTTTTTTTTTCAAATAGCAACCTAACATTTTTATTCTATTATTTGGAAGACCTTATTTTCCTGTGTACAACCTACAAAAAATTGGGCCGGGTTATATTATCAAAAAACGGAGAAAAAAAATTGTCAAAGTCAAAAAATTGTGTTGCATATGTGCAAAACGCAACGATCTTGTTTCTGAAGCAATTTAAACGAAATTTCTATGGTAAGTCCCTTTAATAAAAGCAAACAAAATTCATGCGCAAAAATCGTGTTGCGCAAAAATCGTGTTGCGCATGCGCAGAAATGAAATTTTCTTATTTATGGAACAATTAAAACGAAATTTGGATGGTAGGTCCTCCTAATAAAAGAAAACAAAATGCATGCGCAAAAAATCGAGTTGCGCATGTGCAACATCCAACTTTCTTATTTATGGAGCAATTTTAACGAAAATTGGATGGTAGGTCCCTCTAATAAAGGCAAACAAAATGCATGCGCAAAAAAACATATGTTGGCAATTTTTGGTTTCAGCTAGGAAGCTATTCTGTCAAGAATTTGACACCTGGTTTTCATTTTAAGCATTAGGATCGCGGAAACCGTCGGGCATAGAGATTCGGTTAAATGAGGAAAGAGTTGTAATTTTAAGAGCTTATTCAAGATATGCTTTTGTTTTTTTTTAAAAATCTCCACAGTTTACTAGATCTGAGCGAAAAACAGATTTAATGATTTTTCATTTAACTGTTGTAGAATCGGGATCGAAATTTTGCTACGGGATTGCACTCCCTAGTTATTTCTTTAGCTTATCAAGGACCAGAACAAGGATCTCTTAGTCTGCCTTGTTTCCCCATGTTTGCTAAGTATGCTCTCCTCTCTTTTGGAATTTACCTACTAAAGACAAGTCAAGAACCCCGATATTCATCTCGACCCACTTTACCTAAGCTTTCCTTTTGTTACATTTGCCCAAAGTATTGAATGCTCAAAGTGAACGTAAAAGGTAGATAATTAAATTGTGATGACATACCCCTACCGATAGGCAACCCACCTTACAGCAAAAGTAAATTCAAGACTCAAGAGCTGTTCTGCACAACTTCCGCAAAAGAGCGATTTTTCGCCACGAAACTTGGCAAAAAGTTAGCGTCGGTCACTAGATTCCATTGGCGGGAGAAGCGTGCACGCATACCGGGTTTGCTCAATGTTCATTTCATTATGTTTGCTCTGTTTTAAAAAGTGATTACAGGTTGTAATCATTTTATTCTTTTTCCTACTAACACCAATCTTTGAATTCCATACCACGGGGCTTATTATTTACATTTTCCATAAAATGCTGATATCTGTTTATTGAGGCGTAGCGTGCTCCAAACCTGTTTGTTTTGCTCCGTTACTGAGTGCCATTTGTTTGTGTTTGTTATACCTACCTAGACGAGACAAATCTGCCGGCGGCGATATAAAACTTAATTGTGAATATCTTGAAAATGTTAATGGATACCTACAAAGGGAAAATGCAATATTTCGAGGAATTTCTCTAAGGGCTTGATTCTTATTGCATTATATAGCGTAGATGTTGAATGTATGCCAGGCGACCTCTAAATGTGTATGTGTAACGACCGCCCATTAATCATCTACCAAGAAAGAAAATATCGATAAATATAGCATGCTACTTACCTTACAAAATAGTTATTTGTTTCATTAGTACAAAAAATGTCAGTTTTCGGGACGAGGAAGGCAGTTGCTGGACGACGCGTTAGCGGAGTCCAGCAACCTTCCGAGTCCCGAAAACGCATTTTTTGTACGAATAAAACATAAAATTTTTTCTCCAACCCCCTTTACTTTAAATTATATTCGAATTTAGCTTCAGTTCACAGTTTCACTACTAGTTTGAGAACTTCTGCTTTCATGTCCTCACGTGTCATGCCACTCTAGTTTTTAGGTTAACTTATAACCTATTCGTTCTTACTTCGACTAGCGTACACGTATGATTACATTTAGGCAAGTATTGGAATTGAACTTGATTGATAAGGTGTAGATGCTCGTGGGGGGCCTGGCAGCATCGCATTAAAGTCAAACACTTCAAGGTAAGGCAAACTTAAGAAACTTTAATTTAATATAACCTCAAAAACGTCCAAGAAATCTAACTAGTATTTAAATTAAAAGTAATATTTACAGTGCAATTTGTGCAGTTATTAACTTGCACTGGATGGTTAGAAAGTGCACTAACTACGTTAGACTCTGCAGCACGACTGGTGGAAGGTTGCGGTTCGAGATTGGTTGACTTGGTAAGTCATTATTTAGAATTTGATCTGAAGTTTTCATCATATGCGTTACAGATTCTGCAATGTAGCTCTCCGCAATGCTTGTCGATTGCCACCCTCCATGACGCTTCAGGGCACTGATGTCTGCACCTGCATTCATAAGCAAGGTAGCAGACGTTCTTCGCAAACAATGCCCGGTATAAAGCTTCAGATCCGGCAATCCCAAATAAGTGGCAACTTCTTGCGCTGTTGATGTGAGCTTATGTATACCGACAACTTGCCTGTGACATTTGCCATTTTGGTATTTAATGAAGAAACGATTTGTGTTCATATCTGCGGGACGTAATGATGCATATTTTCTATAGAAATTTAAATATTGTTCCCCGGTAATTGTGAATGAGCGCGGTTTTTTTGTTTTAGTATTGGGTACTTTTACTAATAAAGCACCCTCTAAGTCGGTGATGTCTGACGTCTTCATTTGTGACAATTCATCACGGCGTAATGCACCTGCGACACCAAATATGAGACAAACCTAAAAATATTTCAATTTGAGAACTACAAAGGGAACTTTGTGAATTGTGATTTTACCTTAGTCATTAAATATTTGAAATCAGGTGCTTCAGTTAAAAATGACTGCACTTGTTCCATCGTCAACGTTTTTGATTTTTTCGGCTGATAACCGTGTGACTTGTTTTTCAGGTAAGGCACAAGTTTGGGATATTTGCGGATATCGACACCATGCTTGACATTTAACGTTGCTTTCAACATGGAGTAATGACTCCAAAGAGTTGACGGCTTGATTTTAGTCGCTAAATCGGCAAGATACGCAATAATTACATTTTCCGAAAATGAATTAGCTTTATTGTTATTGCGCCATGTCATAAAGCGTGTATATGAATTTTCATACACCTCTCGCGACTTTGTAGGGAGCAAATCTAAAGTCGCATGTTCTGCCGTTTCCATAATTTCTGGCGGAGTGCAATCCATGTCGCAATCAGTTTCAGTCATTTCTAATGTATACAAAATTAATATTGTTATATTTTGTATTGAAATAAACAACTTACCATACAGTCTTTTAATTAAAATTAATTGCAATTAACTTTCAAATTTTAAATTCAAAATGACAGATAATAGTGCAATGGGTCTGAAGTAGATGGCGTTACGCGCAACGGCGGGTTGTATACGTATTAAAATTACGTTCACCGAATATGTAAATTACGTTACACATTGTTTAAATAAAAATAGCGAGCGTAAATCATTTTCAATGCATGTACATCCGTATAGGTAACAGCATTATTTGCATTGAATATGCAAAAATATTTGATTTGTATGTATACCCAGAAATATCTTACAACCTGCAATGTAAAACGATGTCAATGTGACATATCTCCGTCATTGTAATTTTTTAATTGGCCAACTTTCAAGGTCAATTTCTTTTTGGTACTAGGACCAAAAGTATCCACTTTTTGTACAGTTGCCATGGTGATTACGATTAATCCGCAAAACGCCAATTTTACGTAGCGAACACTGTCACAAAATAGCGTCTTATTCAGGTGGTTGGAGAAAAAATTTATTTCTGATTGACGTATGATGGGTTGCATAATACTTACTTGTAATGAAATCGAAACGAATAAACAAAGATTGAAGAATTTACCTGCCCATCAACAAGTAATTCCGCTAATTTACCTAGGTCATTAGCCATTGTGAGGAATATCGATATATATAATTAAACATCGATTAGAAAACGCAAATCATTGTCACAGCGGCTAATCCTCAATAATTTCACTTTTCCCAGTTATTCATAAGACGTATATATTTTTATTCACGATCATATTGTAATCAGTCTCATAATTGTCATTTTGAAGGATAAGGAAGTTGTGTTTTACAACACTTATTTTTCCAGGAGGGAGGAAAGTAGATTCTCGAGGTTAGTAATGTTCGATTCGAGGTTAGTAATATTTCATTACCTACCTCGATTCAGTTGCTAATATCCTAATGGATGGCGCTCTCATCGTAACTGTCTGACACCGATGACAGCTGATTTAGATGCAAATTGTTCAAAACCGCATTTTAAAAACAATTCTTATTCTTATTATGAGTAATATGGATTATTTTAAGTTCTGTGCATTTTTTGTAAATTGCAAATGAACGACCAAACGCGAAAAAGTGAAATAAGTAAATGCGGACCGAAGTATACACAAGTAGGAGTTGTGATTAACTTTAGCCAGATTACGAGCGCGGTGCTAAATGGTTAAGTAAAAACAAAAGCAAAAAGAAACCGTTAATTATTAAAGGATCGGTAAGTATATTAAACTCGAACTTGAGTTTAATAAAATTGATTGTTACTTTAGAAAGCCCATTACTGTTTAAATTTCTGGGTGGAAAAGTTCAATTCTTGTCTATAAGACATGGAAACATTGGGTTGCGCTTGCGACCCATGAGAAGAGCAAGGGATGGCAATTTATGGCATCATAATGTTGCATATCGGAGACGTCGTAGCACTACCTGAAGAGGATACTGCCATATTTTGTTATTTTCGCGTGCCCGTAAAGCGAATGGGCCACTGAATTGGCGACGAAACCTCCTGCTAGTGCAGCCAATCTACAGCCACCGAACTGTTTTAAGTTGAAGAACTCTATTGGCACTTGCTAATATTGTAGCGATCATATGCCAAAAACAATGTCACAACAGGTGTTTAGTGACTACCTGATTGGATCTGGAGAATAAATGTTTCGTTATTGACATCTGCACAGATTATAATACTAATATTGTAACCCAGTCTAAATCTGTAATCACAAAAGATCGCTGTAGGTACATTTTAGAATAATAAAACTGACATGGTCATTAGGCATTACCGCATTAGGTTTGAATGTGGATCACAACATTATTTGGTCGTCCATAATGTGGATGATTTCTTTACCTTTACCTCATTAAAATAAGCAAGTAAAACATGAAGTTTTACCTATACGGCTATACCCTTTCCTGCCCACCATTGTTCATTCACTTCAAAAATTCATTCGGGGAGTAAATTTTTTACTACACTCAATTTCCCTTATTTGAGGGGATGTACATTTAAATTCTTTAGTATGGGCCATTTTTTAACATACATGTTAAATTAATATGAATATTAATTAGGTAAATTTCCAAATCTGTATTACCGACAACATTTTATGCAGGGCAATAATATTGCAGATGGCGCATAAGATGAATATAATACGTATTAAATTTAGTGAATTATTTTATTTTTGATAATGGAATGATTATAATGATGATCGTGAATAAAATCGAACCTCGCTGCGCGCCTCGGGTGATTAAAATTCTTCGAAAAATAACCTACTTTCGTACTCGGTGCGTAATATACTAATTTTAAACCCAGTACTTCATGATCATGAACTATATTGACTCTACCTATCTGGAAATTAACGCATGTAAGCGAATAAGTACCTACAATTAGATATACATATTTAAAAAATGCATATCCAAATCCCAAACATTTATTAGTAGGGGGTTTTCAAAATTTCGTCTAATTCGGGAACAACACAAAATAAATGAGAACTAACGCTTTTTTCGCAAACTATATCTTTTTCCGAAAGATGCTACATGGGAATAATTTCAAATCTGTATCACACTAAAATTTTAGGGGTGTTACAAAAAAACGTCAGAAAAAACTTTTAATTCACCCAAAAATAAATCACATTTTCCGTGTGAATTCTATTACCCAGTATATTATGGAATTATAATACGTTCTAATGAATCCGGTTTCTATTTCTAAATTAGTCCCGATAAACGCAACAATGCCGCTATAATGAAGTCAGGTCTGCCGTATGATGTGTTGCCTATTGTACATTTATAAATGGTGAATGACTTCACTAAACGCTACAAGTTTTCGTAAAAAATTTCGAATGAATATTTCGTCTAAAATTTTTTGTAATTTATTTGAAAGTCTTGTCGATGGCTCTATGGTTTGCTAATGTTTTTTCTGAGTATGCTACAGGGAGATTTTTAAAATAATTTGTGTTGACGCCATTTTACCTATAAAAGTTCACTTTTTATTGGCAGTGCTCTAAAAAATTGTTTTTTCTTAAATATTAAAATTTTGTTCTGTAGCATACTTTTTAAATGTACAATTTACACGAAAAAAATTAGCCCCGTCTTTCATCTCATGTTTTACAGAATTGAGACGAAATATAAATCGCACTATTTTCGCATAAATGTTGTACTACTGGATTACACCCTTAAAGGTATGATTCCGAAAACGGCGACAGCGTCAGGCGACCGCGACAGACGAGAGCGACACTTGTCGCTGCTGTCGTACGACTCCACCAATCTCTTAAAAACAAATGGAGTAAAGTAACGTCCGAGTGCGACGACAGTTGTCGCGCGACAATTTTTATCCAACATGTCGTTTAAGCGACCTACGACGCTACCGGTATTTGACCCATTTGACCAGTACTGTTGCGTCGCTAATCGTATGCACACTCAGATTTTTCGCCGCCATCGACAATGGTATAGCGACAAGCGGCACTGTCGCTGTTGTCTGTCGCGGTCGCCTGACGCTGTCGCCGTTTTCGGAATCATACCTTATTGCTGCACAAGTTGTCCACAATTTATATTTGTTATTATTCGTACGCGTCTCAATAAGAATTGTTAAATAAAATAGTTAAAGGATTAATATTGAGTGGTTGTTTTATTTATTTAAAATGAGGAATAAACAGTGAACATAATACGTATTCAGATAAACATTTGTAATTTTTAATTTTTATAGCAGTACAAAAACCGCACGCCACCATTACATCTGTTATACTTACTAACTATCATACTAAGAAGCAAAACTTATACTCTTAAGTATTTACCATTGATACAAAAATAAACACAATACGCCCCCTCAAGGGTAAATACAAAAATCTAAAAAGAACAAATTAAATGCAATCTTCAACTAAGTTACATCTATAACAAAACTTTTTAAACAATGTGACCGCTAAAGGTTTGGTAAAAAGGTCTCCTAATTGATCTTTAGTTGAAACATATTTTAGAATAACCACCTTATCATTTACTTTATCTCTAATGAAATGATGTCGAATGTCTATGTGTTTTAGTCTCTTATGATACTCAGGATTTCTACATACTTTCATAGCAGATTGATTATCTTCAAAAATGACAACACTAAGACCATCATGAGCAAATTTGAAATCAAGTGTTAAGCTTCGGATCCAACAAGCTTCACTTATCGCTGCGCTTAAGGCTACATATTCAGCCTCGGTTGAGGATAAAGCAACAGTTGATTGCTTCTTGGAGCACCAACTTACAGTACATCCAAAAACTTTAAAAATATACCCAGAAGTAGATTTACGATCAACTTTATCGCCTGCCCAGTCAGCATCTGCGTATCCTTCAATAAAATATTTAAAATCTCCTCTTTGAAAAACTAAGCTTGTATTAATAGTTTTTTGCAAATATCTAAAGACTCTTTTAATTGCTTGCCACAGCTGTGCACTACTTGCTGATTGATACCGACTGAGTATGCTTATTGTAATACATAAATCAGGTCTTGAACACAACATTACATACATTAGGGCACCAATTGCTCTACGACACCTATCTTCAATATCCTTAGTTTCAGACATATTTCGTACAAGTTCATTGTGTGGAAAGTTTGCATCCATTGGAGTATTGCATGGTTTACAGTTCTCCATATCAAAAAATTTTAATATGTTTTTAATATGAGAGGTTTGATTTATAACTATCTGATTTTTAGGCAAGTTTTGTGTTATTCGCATACCTAGGAAAAATTTTATATTCCCTAACTTTTTCATTTTGAAATTGTTACCCAAAGTCGTTATAATATTTTCCACCTCCGTTTCATTTGATCCTCCAATGAGTACATCGTCCACATATATTAACAAAAATATTTTTGACTTATTAGTGATTTTCATATAGATACAAAATTCGTTTTGAGATCTTTCAAAATTCAAAGATATCATTAACGTATGAAACTTTTTATACCAATTTTTAGGTGAACTTTTTAAGCCGTATAAGGACTTTTTGAGCTTTGCAAATTTGCCTTCATGATTTTTGACACCTTTTGGAAGTACAATGACAACCTCATCATCTATCTCACCATTTAAAAAGGCACTACATACATCAAGTTGATGTATTTTAAATTTAAAATGATTACACAATGCTAAAAAAATTCTTACAGACGGGAGCTTTGCTACAGGACTATATAGGTCACTACTGTTATGTACATTTGTTTGCTGAAAACCTCTTGCCACAAGTCTAGCTTTATATCTGGTTACATTACCAACCTCGTCTCTCTTCTTTTTATACACCCACTTGCACTGAATGACCTCACTTTTTATATCACTCTCATTTATTAACACCCACGTTTCGTTTTCATTTAATGCACTTATTTCACGTTCCATAGCTTGGATCCACATTTTTGCTTCATCACTCGCTATCGCATCGTCGTAGGTGGTAGGTTCATCACTTTCTTCACATACAGTCAAAAGGATGTTTTCTAAATCCATCTCATAGTCATCATATTTAGGATGTCGTGGTATATTTCTTCTCAAACAGTATCTTCCATTTACAGTGTTGTCATTCACCACTTCGTCGGTTTCGGAATCTTCACCGGTCGACTCATTTTCCCTTTCTTCTATTTCTTCAACTTGATCTATTATTTGATTTTGGTCCTCTTCATCTGTTTCGTTTTGAAGATCCTCTTTGTCCTGGTCCTCATTTAACGTTTCATTTTCTAAGTTTAACATCTCGCTTGTATTCCTCACCTCTTGAGATTTTTCGGGCAAGAAGATCACATCCCTCTTAGTTTCAACTTTGTTTGTGTCAGGAAAATAAATTCTTAATCCCTTTACTTCCTCTCCATACCCAAGGAATATTCCCATTTTATTTTTGAAATCCCATTTTACGCGCTTTTCTTTTGGTACGTGTACCGAAACTTTGCTTCCAAAAATCTTGAACTCTTCTACGTTGCATTCTTTCTTATGCCAAAGTTCGTAAGGAGTATATGGTTTCTTAGGACTGGGACTAGTTCGATTTATTATGTATGACGCCGTATTAATGGCTTCAGCCCAAAAACTCTTGTCCAGTTTCCCATATAGCATGGCTTTCGCTGCTTCGACCAGGGTACGATTTTCGCGCTCGGCTCGTCCATTTTGTTCTGGTGTATATACCACTGTACGTTGATGTTGTATACCCCTATTCTTCAAATATTCCGTGACTTCCTTGTTGATAAATTCTAGACCGTTATCGGTTCGCAAAACTTTTAGTCCATACCCAGTTTGTCTCTCTGCCATCGAAATAAATTGTTTAATGTACGTTTGAACTTCAGACTTATGTTTTAGGAAGTAAATTTTTCTAAATGCAGAGTAGTCGTCTTTAAAGAGTAAAAAATATCGAGCACCTCCGAGGGAAACAGTTTCCATAGGCCCGCACACATCGGCATGCACCAACTCCAACAATTGTGTTGCTCTGGATCCGCTGTTGGGAAAAACCTTTCTGTGCTGTTTTCCAGCTAGGCACCCTTCACATATAAATTCTTCGTCTACGTTTATGTAGTTAATATTTTTCCCTTTTAAAAAACTGGTTACATATTTTATGTTTTGATGAGCCAATTTACAATGCCATTCCTTTAAGGTATTTATGGATTTTACCCTCATGCAGTCATCTACAAGGTCTAAACCATCAAAGCAATCGTTTTCATTTTCACTAGGGCAACATATTTGGCCATCATAATCTTCTGTAAAATCTTCCGTAAACAGCATTTTATACATTTTATTTTTCCTTATCGCTAGAGCTCTTGGCTTTCCTTCTTTATCGCTAAACTGGCACTTCTCATTATCAGATGTCATAAAATACCCCTTATCAAGAGCACACCCCGCCGAAAATAAATTAAATTTCAATTCTGGCACATAAAGTACGTTAGTTAATGTTGTTTTTATTAATTTTTGACCATTAAACGCCCATAAGTCTATATTTCCAAACCCTTTTACTGGAATTTTTTGTCCATTACCAACTTGTACCATTTTATGTCTGTGTAACTTATTAATTTTATCGAAACTTTCCTTGTTCCAACTCATATGTTCACTCGCTCCTGAATCAAGACACCAGTCGTTGGATTTTAGGTTCTCGGAACACATTAAAAATGCATTAGTCTCAGCTTCCACTTGGTTACTCGCTGTTCCTCGACTTTCTTTATTTTTCTTTATCCAACACGTTTGAGCTAAATGACCCGGTTTTTTACAGAAGGTGCAAAATCTTGAAGTTGGCTTACTCCCCTCTTTGTTTCCTTGCTGGTCAGCTTTATCATTTTTGTTTTTATTTCTAAAGTAACAGGACCTAGCTAAATGACCGACTTTTGAGCAAATGTGACACCGTTGATTTGTTGAGCTCCTTTTAAAATTTGATTTTGCAGACAGTGCTGTTGTATCTTCGGTGGACTTGCTGCGTTCTTCCTCTATCAACAACCTAGATGTTAGTTCTGCCAACGTTTGTGACTCGGGTGGCACCGACTCCCATGCAGACCGAAAATGTTTGTATTGCTCGGGCAACGACATTAAGATTTTTGTTATTATCATTTTATCACTGAGAGTTTCTCCAGCTGTTTTAAGTTTTGTTTTAATTTCTTCAATTTTAGAAATAAACGTGCTAACTGACGTATCAAACCCTAACATAAAGAATCTTTGTTGAAGTAAATGAACACTCACCCCAGATTCCCTGTCGTATACTGCCTTCAACTTACTCCACATTTCTTTCGATGTTTCGCATGACATAAGATGAGTAAGTGGCCCCTGCTCCATACGAGTTACGATGATTTCTTGAGCCTTGGCATCGTCCTTCACCCACTTGGTCAGCTCATCTCCGGCTTCTACAGGTTTTATTTTCGTACCGCTTACTATCTCGAAAAGGCCTCGACCCTTCAATATTATGGATATCTGAAATTTCCACACCGGCCAATTTTCACCTGTTAACTTTAGGACGTTATTTACACTACTCGCGTTTTCACTCATTTTTTAATAATACGGTTTTTATGCCTTTTATATTATTACACACGTGGTGCTAACCTCAAAACAAAAATTCACAATTTTTATGCACAAACGAGAACTTCCGCGTGCTCTGGTCCCATAACCTATTGAGTGGTTGTTTTATTTATTTAAAATGAGGAATAAACAGTGAACATAATACGTATTCAGATAAACATTTGTAATTTTTAATTTTTATAGCAGTACAAAAACCGCACGCCACCATTACATCTGTTATACTTACTAACTATCATACTAAGAAGCAAAACTTATACTCTTAAGTATTTACCATTGATACAAAAATAAACACAATTAAAAAAACAATCTTTTAATTACGCGGCACTAGCTACAATAACGACCTACAACGATGCACACATTTTTTGAAAACTAGCAACCATCATGCGATTTTTTTAATAATGTATTTATGTTTTGTATCCAACAGTTAACACTCTTTACAAAATTCATCCTTTGTTTGGCAATTGACATTATTTAATCTCTAGGCTGGATCACGTGCATAGAAAATGCCGTTAACTTTTATTATTTAAAACCGTTAGTTTTTATGTAAGTTTTTGATCAGAATAAATATACAATGGTTCATGGCTATATTTCAATTACATCAAAGAGTATATAACGTATACTCTTTGATTACATGGTCTTGGCCCTAAGTTTAGTTCATATATTTGCTCATTTATTTAAATATCTAAATGTTATCGAATTACTTGATGTTTGAATGGACTACATACTATGTATTAGGTAATTCATCACAGTAAAAAAATAACATCCATCCTGTATACATTACCATGCTTTCCTCGACCACAGAAGTTCAGTGTCTTCAACTGGCAACGCCGCACTCTTACGTCATGCTCCATTGACAATTGACATTTCCTCACTGATGTTTGTTTACATTTTAAGTTGTTATGTATTTAATAGCATAATATTATTTACACATAATGGATTTCGTGATAATGTTAAGGTCGCTTACGTGTACTATATCCATAATTAAACTTTAGCCTTCGCTCAATAATCTTAATGACGTTATGGTCAAAGCTTTTTTAAAACTGCAATGGATAGAAGTATACTAAAAATTTATATCATATCCTTAATTGTAGGATTACTTCATAATTATTGTGAGGTGTTTTTTAACTTCAGTGGATTTTAGGATTTATTGGCTGTTGGATTAACATTCCCTTTGCTATTTCCACACTTACGAACTTTGGGCGCATCTCATTTTGTTGTTGGAGTGTTTGGCGCTACGTATTCAGGCCTACAAGTACTCTCGGGTCCAGTAATTGTATGTAGTAAGCATGTTATTTCATTTCCATACAGGAAGTAAGTAAACTAATTTTGGTCGCAGGGTAGTTGGAGTGATATTAGAGGACGATCGTCTGTTGCATCTGTAGTGTTATCCATTTCGGCAGTATGTTATGTTTTAACTGGACTCACTACGTCTTTAGCTGTGATATACATCCTAAGAATTTTACTAGGTAGGTCCAAGTAGAGGGCTCGGTCTGTCCAAATTCTTCAAATAACTTGCACGTACTAATTAAAAATGTTGATAGACAATATTGTCAAAGTTTGATGGTTGAAGGATAGACCAGTCTTGAATCTGTCAAGTCAGAGGTAAAGGGTGTTCAAAGGGTAATCAGTCTGATCAGGCCGCCTGTGTTTGGCCGTTGCCACCATCGACATATAATGAATGGACTGCACGTGTCAATGATAAGCACGGATACTGCAGGTGAGAGAGAAGGGAAAACTAAGAAGGCAAGCTGTCTCTTACGGTTACACATCTGATTGGTTCTTTCAATTTAATTTGAATGCTTCTATTGAAAGAACCAATCAGATGCGTAAGCGTAAGAGAAAGCTTGCCCTCTTAGTTTTCCCTTCTCTCTCACCTGCAGTATCCGTGCTTAGCATTGGCATGTGCAGTCCATTTATTATATATACGTGGATGGTTGCCACACAAAACACATCACTTGTCTTAACATTTCAAAAATGATATGGCAGCTGGCAATGATGCTCTTATTAACTTCATGCATAGTTCGCAAATTTTTAACCCCACACAATTATCATGATTTGCATTATCGATGAATCCTGTGTGTAATTACCCATTCCAAAAAGTTGTGGTAGGTATATCAGTTGCTGCTTTACATTCAATCTCAAATGAACCTGCGATGATTTCTATTTTTAATGGTTATCCATGGTACAATGCTTATCCTTATCAACTATGCGAGGAACTATGGTATATGGTTATAGTATGCAGAAAGATGCCTTTTTAACATGTAGATATGCTTTTAAATAGACGTCGTCGAAGCACTAGAGAATTTAGGTAACAGATAGCATCTATTGTCAAATACTCCTCAACATTTGGAATTTCATATTCTTCATCTTTGAATTAAACATATTAATTAGCACACATACAAAAATTATAATAAGTAAAGCTTTTATTTAACACCAAAATGAAAAATTAAATGACTTCATTGTGGTATAAATTGTCAATTCACTCATTTTAACAGTTTGATGGTGATTGGTGACTAGAAAATTTACTCACAAATATGTCATACACATGTTTTTGTTGTACCAGTTCATTATCAATATTTTTTCTTCCTTTGTGAACACTACCATCTAGGTATGAATAATGTTCGCAATGTCAAAGTGAACGTAAATGTATGTAAGTGGATTCCGTTGGTAGAGAAGCCTTGGCTAAAACCACGCTTGCTAAAAGATAATACATTTTTTTTACTGGGTTTGCAAAAGGTGCCCTTATTAGTTATTTCTCTATGGCTTAAATACAGAAGCCACCTCTTTAATTTGACATGATAAATAATTGTTCTTTTTAGTAAGGGCCAGAAAACACTGCGTTGAGCATGGTAGAAATACCATGGAGACACTTGTGGCAACCATAGTATAATCTACCAACATTTGCACCACCTAAACTTATGATATGTAGAAATGTATAAACAAAATGGTTTGAACCAACACACAAATTAAAAATCTATCCAAAATTTACTTGTTATGTGTCAATAAGATATGATTAGTTGATTACATTACACTCAAAACATATCACTGACAGATGTTTAAGGGATAATCGCATCAGTTCTCGGCTCCCTGCCTGACTGTATACAGGTTGCCACACGACAAGTGCTGGCTTTGTATGGTGCTTTACAAAAATATTGTAACTGGGTTGGTAGATTCTGCTAAGGTTACAATAATTGTTATCACAATCGTGTCCATAGCAATTTCTACCAACCTGGTTAAAATGGTGGAATTTTGATAAAGCCATATACCTATCTCAAAAAAGAGACCTCAAATATTTTAAAAATTTGACTGTCCCATTTTTACCACTTTTTTAGGGTATCTTCATAATTGTTAGCGCTATCAAAAAAATAATATAGGCGTCGTCTGCTCTTTGTGGGTCCAACTTAAAATGATAAAATCAAATTTTGTCTGTCTGTCTGTACTCTTATTTCTGGTTAACTGGCTGAACCGGTTTGAACCAAAAATGGAACACATATGGGTGGTGTCTGTTCTAGCTACAGCACGTTTTTTATAATGATTGTTGAATAGTCTGCCGTTTTCAGAATAAGTAAGTACGGGGTCAGGGAAAAAAGTTATTAGACCAAGCTTAATTTTTTTAATGCATCGCCCCTCGATCACCCCGGAGATTTTAATTAAAAAAAAATAGCATATTTAATTCTTTTTTCAAAACTAACACAAAAAATTCAAAAATACTTTTTCGATTTTTTTGAATCACAAACCTTTTTTGAACTTTTTTACATCTTTTAAACTTTTTGAATCACTTGAATCTTGTTTTTAATATCATCTATGGTGTGTTACATTTTTCGAAAGAGAATTTTTAGATTAAAATATACACGTGTTTCATTTTAAAAATGAGGTTAGATCCGAAAATTTTTACCTGGTCCTGTATATATACTTATTTTAAATACGGAAATTTATTCAAAAGTACATAATACAAAAACTTTGCTATAAAACATTTGTCGATTTTGTTTTTATTTTTGAACACAAAAAAATAATAGTAAATAGGTATAATGTAATTTTCTCTGTTACACAATTTTTCGTTTAATAAATAAATATTGATTCAATTAAAAAATAATAATAAACACTTTCTCATTGCTACTTTTTGAGCTCTAAAGACAGCCTTTCGATTTTTAATACAACGTTTCGTTTTGGAAAAATCATCAATTTTTTTTAATGATTTTAAATAAAAGGATGTGAATGATTATTTCCAGTCCAAATTAAGTTTGTGTATGGTTTTTGGGTACTTGAAATGCTTTGTATCTCAAATTTCTTTCATGAACATTTTTTAATAGTTCATATAACCAATAATTACAAGGTGGAAACCCAAATATCTTGATCCAAAAGAAATTTGGTACTTGTGAGTTGTGGAACAGACAAAATTTATTGGCACCCACCTAATACGTTCCATACCTAAACTTGATGCTTTCCAGGTTTTTTGAAGCATACTCAAACATTATGCAAAGCACTGATAGCTGATATCGTTCCCAAAGATAAGCAAACTGAAGTTTATGGAAGAAGTACAGCAGTATCATCCATAGGATTTATAGTGGGTCCTATTGTTGGCGGTCACCTTATAGAGTTGCCAAATGGGTTCTCTTACGTTTGCACTTTAACCTCAATATTGTTCGTAATTAATATAGGTAGGTTTACTATAAAATTACATTTTAAGCATAAGTATTGTATTTTTCAGTATTATTCCGCACTTTTGATGATGTTATCTGCGGAAAAGTCAGTGAGAAGAAGCAGTTTCATCTTACAGACATAAAGCAAGAATTCACAAAGGCTGTGAAAGAGTTATTGGAGATGGACTGGAAGCAGTACTGGGATGTATTTACTTTACGGTTCCTGTACAGCTTTTGCATCGCAATTTATTTTTCAAATCAATCACTCTTCATCTCAGAACAATACCAACTATCCCAAAAGTATATTGGATATATTATCTCATTTTTTAGTATTATTGGGGGCCTTTCATCGATAGCTATTGGCCAGATCAAAGTAAAGTTTTATAACAATCAAAATGAAAGTTTGACTTTGCTATTACATTTATTTTTAACAATGACCTTCTGTTTCTTTGGCATTCATTTATCACCAAATTTAGGTTTTTTGCTTGTATTGCTAACGCCATTTGCGTTCTCCAGTGCAGCTTTGAGAGTTTTAACTATGGAGTTGATATTGAACCGATCACACACTAATGACAAGGGTTCATTATCTGGTGTGGCCAATAGTGTGATGTCAATAGGCAGATTTATTTCACCGTTAATATCTGGGATTATTGCAGACTGGTGTGGTGAAAGTAAGGTAATGCTATTTGCATTTATACCTTCGCTATTTGCTACATTTTTATGTGTAAAATTAATAAAAACCAAATCAAAAGCTTCATAATGCAGACGGACACATTTTAAAAATAAAATTTTGTTGTTTTTATTTTCTCCTAAGCAGCCTTTTTGACTGTTTACTTGACATTTCAAATTTTTTTTTATACAATTGTATTTATTGTATTAGTTGTATAAATAGGTACTTACCTATACAAATAAATATTTTAATTTAATGCAGTTTAGTTTAGTAGTCTTAGTGTTCTGCAATAGTATTAATAACTATCGTAAAGTCCGACAATTTTCATGTTCTAAAGGCTGCATTAGCCCCCCAGCCTTATTTTTTAGCTGTGGGGGTATGCTATTTCTATGGGTCTTCTTGCATCATTCAACATCCCTGAAGCGCATTTTATCTCTTTATTTCTACATATTATTTTAAGAAAAGTAGGTGCCCCAAGAAGTTGTAACCCAAAGTTGACATTAGGTACTTATGTTGGTATAGAAAACTTCTATGTACTAATTGGAGTATCATCAAAAACAGAACCAGAAGGGGCGAACGCAAATGGTACGAGTTACAACTTGGGACAGTGTCCCAAGCTGTTCCAAGTTGTAACTTATTGATCACAATTACCTAATTAAGAATCAAAATTAACAAAGTGTCAAAAAGTTTTTTTTTCTAACGATTGCGCTTTATTTTCTTCTGTTTGTCAGGCAACAAACAAACTGAGAGTCCTATTAACATAAGATCATGGATACAGCCCTGTTCTGTTCATACTACACTAAAAACTGACAAAAACCGTGCGAATAAAACGTAGGTAGTATATGGCTAAACCGAGACTACAGGTTTGCAAATCGAAGGGCCTGCCTTCCTGTAGACAGTATCGTGTATGGCGACATTAATAAAGTAACCATTTCTTTACATATGCTGTTCTTATGCTTAATGTTTTCGTATGCTATCCAGCAATAATTCAATCTTCACAAAATGTTAAATTTCAGTGTAATTAGTGGTATTGTGGGGTTAATAGGTAAAAAGATAACAATGAAATATAAAAATGCATATTGTTTCTACAGATATAACACTTATATACAAACTTCTACAAGAAAATTAACACTTTTAAAATTCAGAATACTATTTACTGCTCTCCTTTTCCCATGCTTTTAACATTTTCAGTTCCTTCTCCCGTTGAATTTCACGTATCGCATTTTTCATTTCTACCATTTCCGGCCTATCATCAGGTGGATACATTTCTTGGCGTTTGCTGATAACCCAGTCTTCAAAATACTGTGGCTGATTAAAATAATGGAAAAGTCCAACGGGGAAGGCCATGTATATGGTCATTTTAACCACCTCCAACTTCCAATTGCCCATTTAAGAGTTTAGAGAAATAGGTTTTGACTTTAAAACTGGGATTGATAGATCAACATAACCTATAATTTCAATGTTAACAAGACAAATTTTACTGATTCCTTACGATATTACTTTCTAAACAATAACTAGCAGTAAGGATAATTATCCTATAAAAATTTAATTTTTGTACAATAGTATGAGGTTATGTTCTTGCTTTGGGTAGTTGTGGTTACGTGATCGATTACAGTTTACGTCACGCCGTGGCTCCAGTAGCGTTAACTTTGGCCCGTTTGCACCGACAAATTTAAGCCGAGCTTATGTAGCTTAAACCATTGATTATAGTTGTGTGTATAATCAATGCTTAAACCAAATAATAATTATTATCCTCGCCATTAGAGATTGCCGGTACGTCATAAGTAAATGACTCTAGCTATCCAAAACGTTTATAGTAAAGTCACATGAAAAACAGCACATCAAATAAAGACAGTGAATATTCGAAGTGCATTTGAAGGAAACGAAGTGAGTTATTGAATGAGATAATGTGGTAGAAAGAGAAAAAACAAAAACGAATAACCAATGCGTTTTGTAAACCGTATGAATTTGAACTCTCATTTGACTAAAATAGTTCTTCCGTATATTTGTTTGACAGTTGTGATTTTTAATTGTTTATCTGTCACGCACTTTTAAATCATCGGTTACGCACTTTTCAATCAGTTCTTTTGAGAAGTAATAATCACTTACGTGTATCCTATTAATCACTTTCATCTCTCTCTACGAATTCCCATGTCTGCAAAGGGTAAAACTTTGCATACACAAGCACAACAGCTTGTGTTAAACTTAGTGCAACATTTTGAGAAGGAGAAAGAAAACGGTGGTCCATTGATACCCGTATCTGCCGTTCAAGAAGTAAGTGTGGTTATATACAGGGTCATTCTTGACGAGCGTCAGTTAGAAAGATATGGAAAACCTTTGAAAATGAAGATAAACTGATAAGTTCTTTAAGGGTTTTGGCACATGATGAATTGAACTAAAATATTTTCAAGATGGCACCACTTCCGGAAATACCGGAAGTAGCCATCAACTTTGTTATTTTAAATAGGGACCCCCTATTTTTTCTACATTTTCGGATTCTACGTCGAATTTGGAGTACAACGATACCCCATAGTTGACCCTTTGCTCCAAGGGCTTCACCGATATTCAAGTTTTTGTGTCTAAAATTGAATTTGCAGGGGTAACTTTCAAAATTTATTATTCGAAAACGGTGAGAGATATTGCAAAACAGTTTTCAATGCTTTATTAAGGAAAGATCGAATTTTCTTATGGTATGCGTAACAGTCTAAAAAGTGAGACTACGTCACTTTTTCAAAGCTCTCAACTTTTAAACTTTTAAATATCCGTAACTCCATTTTTTTAAATGGCACCCCCCATTTTGTTCTTCACCCTTGTTTTCCTTTTTCCCAGACCTTTAATTTGATGCAAAAATGTCAAAAGCTGCTTCAAACGGTTTCCGAGATATTCCATGTTTTAGTTGCTTTTAGTTATCGATACTATCGTCGGAAAGATGTTGTAAACACGCACAACTCCTGCGTGGCGGAATTTTGTTTATTGTCCTAGGGGCGAAATTAACGACCTTTTGCAAGGCGCGCGCCTTCGGCCGCCTTTTACGTTCCGTTGCAAATTTTGTCACGCGGTTTAACGTTTCGTAAATCTCGAATCGCTGTCTCTCTTTCTCCTGTCGCAATGAGAGTGCCCCAAAAATTAAGTACTATTACTATCTTGTGGAAGGTTTTTAGCAAAATCCACCAAAATGTGGGTGTAATATAAGTATGCACCGAAAAAGGTTAATGTGGTAGCCCCCGACACGATCTTACCGATGGTGGAGTCAAATCTTCAAACGCGCATTGCGAGTGAACGGGACATCGGAAGTGGGTCCCAACAAAGGGAATGTGGTAGCCCCCGATACGATCTTCCTGATGGTGGAGTCAAATCTTCAAACGTGAATTGCGGGTGAACGGGACGTCGGAAGTGGATACCGTCAAAGGGAATGTGGTAGCCCCCGACACGATTTTACTGATGGTGGAGTCAAATCTTCAAACGCGCATTGGAAAGGAACTGGACATCGGAAGTGGATACCGACAGGGATTATGGTATCCCCCGACAAGATTTTATTGATGGTGGACTCAAAACTTTAAACGCGAATTGCGGGTGCACGCGGAAAGTGGGAAGCGAGTACCGACAAAGTGAGTGTAGTAGCCTTCGACAAGATGTTTCATTGATGGTTGAGTCAAAAGTGGATAATAGAATACTGATCTGCCACACAAAAATGCGCCGAAGTCCCTTCGATCTCACATGAAGACTTTGATAATTTTTATTTATATTGGAACCCTTAAAAATTGGAATGAGAACTGAAAATTATTGAAGTCGCAGAACCGGAATCCGCACCGGAACCATTGAGTTATACGTATATATTATGTATACATTATACATAGTTATAGTATGAGGTAAATACACAAACTTAATTACATTATATCACAAATCACTACATTCTATTCTAAAATAATCAGATTGAAAGAATTGCTCCTTCCCACGTCTATGTTAAAAATTAACATTTTTAATTATTGATGTTGCATAGGCCGAAACAGAAATACATTTGGTTTAATTATTCTGTCTTTGATGAGTGATATTTACATACGAATTATGTACTTAATAAAGGTTAGTAAAGTACCTACTTATAGGTTTCAGATCCATTTATCAGTTTATTACTTATACCTACCTCTATTTGTAGTTTTAAGTGCTAGACACAGAATGCTTCGTTTATCTAGAATTTTCCAAAGAGGTATTGCGACTGTAGACATACATAATTTCTTTAAGAACAGCTGTGAGAGATATGATCGGATATTTTCCAAGGTGATTGTGTCCAATTATTGCCAAAGAATAAAATTATTAATCCTGCAGGTAAACATTGTCAAAATAGGAAACGGGGCGTGTGTGGCAGAGCTGAAAATTGAGAAGGAACATACAAACCCGTTCGATGGGCTACATGGTGGTATGATTGCCTCGATGGTTGATACATTAACGTCGTATGCGTTACTTACTCATAAAGCAGCTGAAGGTGTACCTAGCGTTTCGGTAGATATGCATGTTTCGTAAGTCTTTTGGGTTTTCTTTGCAGATTATTATGCTATTATTCCTTCACTTGTTTGCCTATAGTGTCTCATAATAATAGGTGCAGTTTAAACAAAAATATAATGTAGTGGGATTACACATGTACCTACAGCTTGTGGTGTCTTAAATTAGACGTATTTACTTATTGTATCCGCGACCCACCTATTTATCAATCTAATTTTTTGTAGATTTCTGAAAGGAGCAAAATGTGGCGAAGAAGTTGTGATTAATGCAGAGACCATCAAATGTGGAAAATCAATGGCATTCGCAGAATGTTGTATTACAAATAAAGCTACTGGTGAAGTTATAGCAAAGGGAAACCATACCAAATACTTAATTAACTTAAACCGCTTTACACTGTAAAGTTGGAAATGTGGTGTGTGTATTGTGTATTGTAGGTACCTACTCGTAATTGCTCTAACTAAAATAAGTAGAATGTGAACCCTGGCTCTGAAAAACAAATATACCTATGTAGGTTGTACAGTCTCTTGTAAAAGTAATGTCCCTCGGATACCTACCACTGTAGCATAGGCAACCAACATCCCAACCGACTAGTCCAAGTTGGATTTGGGGGTGTGGGAGGTAGGTAGGTATCTAATGCGGTTCGTTTTCAGCAGGTATTCCCACTTTGCCAAACTAAAAATAAGTTAGTAGAATGAAAATGAATGGCATCGATTTATTAGCTCAAAAGATCTGCGCTGCTTTAACCTATCCTTGGTTTAATACAATAGAAATTTTTACATTTCAATTGGTTTGGTTCGTTTTAAATTTGGAAATAGTTTAGCTAAAATAATGACATTTACTTTTAATTTTTTCGAGTAGATTTTCTTCTAACAAAATAAATGTGATGATTTTGTCGTTTTATACTGACATTGAAATTGAAGTCTCATTATTAATTACTCGGGCCTCCTAATGGAATGCGATTATCTGCACTGGAAGCGCAACAATGCCGTTCCTTTTGTAACTACCACCTCCCATTCCTTTCAAACCCCGGGATGGCACCCGCGGAAAAATTCGGCTGTTTTAATTATTTTTCCCTAATTTCGAATCATTTCACCTGCATGAAAAAGCCGGTTTAACTGGTAACTAATTTTTTTGTCAAAAAATATTATACCTATAACCTGGACTAAATATCCTTATAAATGCCTACCTACTCAGAAATATGCAACGTAAAAGCTCTCCTAAACTAAATTCGATATTAAATCAACCACGACCAAGTATCACAAATGCATATCATTTAATTTCTGATGTTAGTTACAAAAGAAAGGTATTGTTGCACAGTACACTTGTAGGGCAATTAATCGCATTCCATGAGGAGACCTACTCGCAAGTAATTATTAATGACACTGGAATTTCAATGTCATTAAAGGACAAGAATATCACCTTTATTTCGTTAGAAGAAAACCTACTCAAAAAATTAAAAAGTGAAAGGCCATTATTTTGTCTTAATAGTCTCTAGCTAAACTATTTGCAAATTTAAAACGCACCAAACCAATTGTAAGAAATGTAAAAATGTTTACTGCACCAAGCCAAGGATGTGCAGCGCAGATCCTTTGAGCTAATAAATCGATGGCATTCACTTTTATTCTACTAACTAGTATTTAGTTTGGCTAAATGGGAATATCTGCTGAAAATGAATCGCATTACTATAGATAGCTACCTCGCACACCCGCAAATCCAACTTGGACTAGGCGACTGGGATGTTGGTTGCCTATGCTACAGTGGTAGGTACCTATCCGAGGGACATTACTTTTACAAGAGACTGTACATACCTATTTAGGGCTGATTTTTTATGTTTCAATTAGGTATACTTATTAAGCATGTAAATATATTGACGTCCGTGGAAATAGCTGATCTCAGATAAGATACCTAGATCTAACGGTAACATGAAAGACTAACGTGTGTGTGTGAGGTACCCAAGTCGAAAGATACCGCACCAACAAAAAGCGAGAAAAACACGAACTCAGATTTCCACCACCAGCGTAGTACCTAGTACAAATCTCGCACTCAACAATTGCCGGATCTACTAAGAAGACCATGTCGCCCGTCGCACTCACTCGTACCCAAACTTACTATCGGAAAGGTGTAACGCAAATCACACACTTATTGAATTTGAAAAGCAAAAAAAAAGTTTATTGAATATTAAACTCTATAGTACACAGTGTCCAAGATAAGGAAGTCTATCATGGGAATCTCGGAAACCAATCGGAAAAATTGCGCAATTAAAGAGTAGGTATATTTGATCAAAAGTGTAAAATGAATCAAAACGCCGAACAAGTTCCTAGAAATTTAGACAGAATACATTTGAATCCAAAGATATGCCGTGTTCCTACTAAAGAAAATTTTGAATCACTCCCAAGCCACATTTTTAGTGGAAATCACGTGGTGGCACGATTCAAGCAACTTGAAAGTGTATTGCCAAAGTTACTGCCACGGTTCTATCACGTGGCCGTTACCAAAATGGGGAACATTTATGGTGGCATCCACGTTGCAACCACGTGTTTGGACCACATAAAAGCACGTGATTGCTACGTGGCGGTCACGTGGTGAAAACGTGGCCGCCACTAAAAAAAAGAGATGTCAAAAGGGCCTTCTTTATTTTTTGGCCTACATTGCCAATTCACGAACTCCGATCTACAAATTTGATAAAGAATTCACCTGCAAAATTTCATCGTAATCGGTCCATTCGTTCACGAGATATCGTGCTAAGCAGCTAACGGACGGACGGACAAACACCGCAAAATTATAAACTCGCTAGGAGCTCGTACTCGTTAATAATCCAGGTTCCAATCCGTACGTAATAATCTTGGTATTATTATTACCACAGATTAACTACAATAATCTGTGCTATTACTAAATAATGGGGAACTGAATTAGCATCATTAGGAATGATAAAAAATAAAACGCTTGAAATTTTGTTGCTAAACATAGGTGTTCTACCTGGAAATGTATCAACGCGCCATTGAAAAAAAAAAGTTGAAATCAAAAATTTTTCAGGTGCGGAAATTACATATAACCCTCGCCAGGAAAGATTGCCGGTCACAGAACACTTGATCCCGATCTACAATCTCTGTTTTTCGTAAGGTGCTAGCGACTTCCGGGATAGTATCGTGTCAATGTTGAACGAAAAGACTTTTTGTTCAACATTAGCATGATCCTATTCCAGAAGTCGCTCTCATAATAAAAACAAAGATTGTAAATCGACACAAGGTGTGCTGTGACCGGCAATCTTTCCTGGCGAGAGTTATATAATGTATACCCCAAACAGATTTTTTATCAATGTTGGGTACCTAAAACCAACAATTCAATATCGAATTATTGTATAAAAACTGACTGCGGGAAAATTAAATTTTGTTTAACTTCACTCTCAATTTTCTGCCAATGGCGTCCTTAGTAGGTCGATAAATATGTCCGTTATTGGATTATAAACTTTAAAGTGTCAGAAACTAAAAACAACCCACTGTGTAGTCTCGTTCAACAAACAAGTGGCAAAATAGTATATTAAAGCATAAGTTGCAGAAGGCGCTATATTCTAGCACGAGTTCAAGTTTTGAACCTGAGCCGCGTAGCGGCGAAGGTTCGAATGAACGAGTGCTAGAAAGGCCTTCTGCAACATATGCTTTATACTATTTTCTCTGTTGAGCATTTTAATTGTATTAAAAAAATTAACAATTCTGACATTTTCTGTAATAAATATTTCAATAAAGAAATTAAGTTGGCAACACCAACAATTTTTCAATAAAGAAATTAAGTTGGCTACCCTACATTTTGAAAAAATTCAATTTAACAAGCGCGTCAAATACGAATTTGTGCAGTATATTTTAGTTTTTTCAATAAAAAGTGAATAATGTGCGAAGAAATTCTTCCTTCCACTCCTCCAGAGCTTCGACAGTTAGCAGACGAGACTGTTCTTAATTTGCTACCAGACAATAATTCCACAATTATTCTAAAAGTTTATAATAATTGTACATTTAGTGACAAAGATTAGTTTTGTAATTTTGTTAGGTTATAAAACCTCATTTGTATTAAATGTGGATTTCTCTAAGTACCTACACTGAATTTTCAATACCTAATGATTTCAATTACCCGTATCGTTAATAACTGTAACATAATGTTATAACAATAAGTGAAATTAGTCCACATTTTACTAAACCGTTGAGATAAGTATTAACGTCTAAATCATCCAGGCAGAACTTTGAATTGAACATTCGCGTATATGATCAGCGTGGATGATTTAGACGAGCATGCCAACCACTGAATACCAAATGTTCTTAAAAATCTGTCAGTTGTGGAAAATAGTTACCAAAAATAGTGTTGGAATGAAACTCATTCCAGCACTATTTTTGATATCGGAATACTGTCATTATAAACGCAAAACAGAGAAAAAGTATTCCAAAACAATTGTGACCACTTTAAAGTGGCGAACACGTGGCCGTCACCTAAAGTCACCTTTGCTTAGACTAACGTTGTATTTCGGGATGAATGCCGCTAAGTATCTTTGTTGCTTCGGCGGTTGCGGGCGAAAAAGCTAATTACACTCAAAAAAGGCAGATCAATCTAAATGAGTGTAACAAATAAAATGAAAATTAATAACTGGCCAATCTCAAACAAATCACAATAGGTACCAAGAAAATTTACATTAACAGAAAATAAAATTAAATTCAAAAATCCCTTGACCCTGAATTAAAAACAGCTAAAGGCGATATAATTTACAATAAATAATATATATAAACTGAATATGTTACCATTTCGTTAACGTGGAACGCTGTTTTAACATTTAATGTGCAACAATACTATAATCTTAAAGTAAAGTTTTGCCCGAATTTCTATTATCTTAATGATAAAATTAATTAATTCATTTTATCTTAATGATTATTTCAATCATTTTTTTATCTTGTTGATACTTAATGAAAAAATAATTATTTTTATCTTGTTGATAACTTTAATTCCATTCCGCCATTTAATATTATCCGAGATAAAATTAAATGGCGCCGTGCGCTGCCTTTCTCTCTTTTTCCCTATAAAACAGCGTATTTCCATCTCGCCATGACTTGCAAAGGTGGCCATTTAAAATTATCTAAAATAATCGTAAATGGCGGAAGAATTAAATTTATCTTGTTGATAACTTAAATTTTGCTACTTATTTAAAATTATCAACAAGATAAAAAAATTATTTAAAATTATCATTATGATAAAAATAAGTATTTTATTTTATCAAATAGGAATTATTTTTATCAACAAGATAATGAAAATGATTGCTTTTTATCTTGTAAATAATTTTAATTCTTCTATTTATACTTATCTACAAGATAAATTTAAATAGTTTGTCTAAACTTATTATCTTGTTGATAAAAATAATTCCTATTTGATAAAATAAAATAATTATTTTTATCATAAAGTGTAATTATAGAATCGGCCCTACAACTGCCGCTTTAACCAGGGAAACGGGCGCGTGGGAGAACAGCGTTTTAC